CGACGGCAAGTACGACTGCTCCGGCGGTCATGGATAATCAGATGAACAAAGGTGTGAGAAGGAATGAGAATTGAAAAAATGGCGGGTGGTTTAAGGATGAGTATTGGGCCCGGACCAGGAAATGGGCTGAAGATCAGACATCCTAAGTTGATTGGCACATCAAAATGGGCCCGTGCTTACTATTGTGTGAGGTGATGTGTAATGTGTTTATTAAAGTTTTTGTTATGCAAATTACTAAAGTATTTTTAATCTCATCAAAATAGATTCTATGTAAAAAAAAAACATAGTTTTTTTCCATAATAGAGTTGTAAAATTGATTCTTTAATTTCACAAAACGACTTTATGTGTTATCTCTGTGAATCAAATCTTGAGTCAATTTGATTCGATCCAAACAAAAATTGTGGTATATCAATAATGTAATTCAAATTTGCGGCTCACATAAGACCTATGGTGCAACAATATTATTACTTATTTACTTTGACAAGCGTGAAATCTCACGAACAAACTAAACTTGATTTGTGTTGTCGGGTGGGTTAAAATCTGAATTACTCACCTTGGTGGTGAAGAAAATCCTCTTGTAAGCATTTGGAGCGTCGGGATGAACCCAAGAGTCACATATAACATGGACAGGACCATTGATGAAGCCATTAAGGACAATGTTCTTCAGAAACATCTCATTGGGGTGCTCATTCACGACCACAACACCACCAACTTCCCCAAAATCGCTAGGCACATTGAACTTCGCCTCGTACTTGATCTCACCATCTACCTCCTTTGTCTTCTTGGCATGTGCTTTGATCATGGGTTGTACCAGTCCAGTCTCTTCATTCATTTCCAATTCAATCCAATTACGGTACAAAGAAGAAGGGGAAAAAAGGAGAAATTGTCAGGAAATTGAAGCAAAAAAAAAAACAACAATAAGAGTGTACGACTACAAACAAGATAGTAATGTTCAAAGTACAAAGAAATCACATGGGTGCACCTAGGGGTGTCGGTTCGGTTCGGGTAACCAAACCCGAAACCCACAAAATCGAAGAGAGTCTGAAACCGCGACTTACGTAACTCGGACCGAACCCAATAAGGGAGTTTTTCGGGTTTGGGTACCCGAACCCGAAACCTCCCTTGTCGAGTTCGATTCGGTTGCAGCAAACCCAAACCCCGAATGCATTTCTCTCCAACCTAAATAGAGAGCTCATACTCCCTTATCGGGTTTTTTTTGTGTCCTTATTGAGTTTCGGGTTACAACAAAACCGATACATCACACTTTCGGATTGAAAACCGATTTGACACCACTAGGTGCACCCACTTAGATTGGTTTAAGATTTGAAAGATACCATATCTAAATCGATCTTTTGTTATTCCTAATCTGAACCGTAACTAACGTCAATACAGATATGTAATTGAATAACCACACCAATAGACACGATTTATCAGCTGCTTTGTTTTTGCCATTGGGTTTTTTTACGTGTTAACCAGTACTTAGATATTATGTATGCAATTGGGGTGAGTGAAGTTTAATTGCTTATCATGATTTTCAGTCGAGATCATGGTGGTGAGGGACTAAAGACTTGATTTAAGTACTCTCAATTTGGTGTCATTATGTCATATATGTCGTTATGAACTTATGTATATATGTGTAGTTATGGATTATAGTGAATTGGACCAGTAAGTGATTCAGTGGTCCAACCAATGTCCACATCAATCGATGGCTCGCAAACATAATTTTGAGTTCTTGTACCATATGAAATTGACCCTTCATTCAACTACACCCTAATATTAATGATTAATTTAAATATCGGGTCCAACCCAATTCATTGAAACCAATTAGTTAGGCAAACATGCAAGCTAAGTATCATATCAACGAGTAGTATCATGAGATAGTGATAAATTAATTTTTGTTAAAATAGCAAAATTTCATCTCGTAAAAAATGTTTAATATATCATAAACTAATCGTTTCGTTTTTCATTTATAATTATACACTTACTCTTATCAAGTTGGGCACTGACGAGGTGGAGATGGAAAGTTTTCCCGAACCACGACGAAATATCTTCGACCCCGAGTCCGAAGTCGGAGATCAGCGCCGTCGGCTGCATAACCGTCACCACCGCCTTCACGTCGACGGTTTGCTCCTTCGCCGTCGACGCGTTGCCGAAGAGGGTGGCTTTGGACACTTTCCCGCCGGAGCCAGCTCCCGGCTTCTTATTGTCGCCCGAAGCCACAACAACCATGTTATTCTTCCCCCGGCCCATGGCGGGGAGCGACGGAGGAGACACGGAAGGGAAGGGAAGATGAGGGCGGTGGCCGTGGTTAGCTTCCCGGCGGAGGAACGCCGGTGCCGGCTGGCTGCCGTTATGGAGCTGCGACTTCAGCATATTTTGTTTAGTGTTTGTTTGGGATAGGAATTGTTATTATTGAAGAGATGAAATGGTTTGCATGTAAAAACTGATGAGGAAAGTGTGGAGAAGTGATTTGGGTTTTATAGGAGAAGAACTCTATAAAGGGACCAAATAAATGATTGTTAGGGTTTTAATTTTACCGCAAAACATTAAAAAAAAAAATTGGCCAGATCTCATTTTCAATGACAAGGTGACTCAAATATGTAATTAATGTATTACTTAAGCTCAAAATAACTCGAAAAATAATGTGGCGTGAACAACTATGTCCGTTTCTGGTCGTGCGTACGTAAAAATGAAAACCGTAGGCTACAAATCAATACAACAATATAATGAAATGAACTATTTGTCAAAAAATCAAGGTCTTCTTTGATCATGGATCTCAACAAGCAACACATTTCTACTTCGAGATATGCGCTAAAAATGATACTCGAGCTTTTCTCCTGGAAAAACTGAAAACAAATAGCTTCACATGTGAATTTATTAGTTCTAACAATAAACTCTAATAAGAAGTATCAGCGAGTCATCACTAGTGTCCATAGACTTATCTCAGTAGATTCATACATACTGCTTTTAATTTTCGTTTCTTGAGATAAAATTACCTCATTGAGTTTCTTTCTCTTCTCTATCTTTTCTTCTCATTTTGTGCTCTTAATTTTTCTTGGTCGTATTATGAATAAACCACTCACACATTCATCGAAACAGTAAAGTTTATCAATGAACTATTGGTAGCTATTATGATGATAAATCAGAAAGGACACATGTGAAAGTGTTTAGGCTTATTTGGAAATGATTTTTCTCTGACTAGTCCAAATCATTCAAAAAATGTACAATAGAGTAATCAACCAATGGAGTAGAGGCTAGTAGATGAGGCCTGATGTGGAGGTTTTCGTTCATCTTTGTACAAGAAGTTGGAAGGACCACAAAGGTGATGCATATTGATATAGGTCACCTTAGGCTCACTAAATTCCACAATAATTATTAGTGAAAAATAATATTCAAGACATTTGTTCTCTTACGAGTCTATCGTCCTTGCGGTATTATTACTAGGTCAATTAAAAAAAAAGTTGAATATTCGTACACGTGACGAGTTATTGTTGGCTTGATAAAAAACCATCAGAGGCCTGCATAATTGAAATATTTCATCCAAAATTTACTATTGATATATGGATAATATGTCTTATTCAATGACCGAAAGCGTTCGCCCAACTGCAAAAAAAAAAAACAAAACAAAACCAAGGGGAACCTAAATAATTTGACGTTAGCCTGATCTCTATAGATGTGTTGCAAACAAACCCTGTGACGAAAATTACATGATGTGCCCCCGATATCTTCCATTGTCGAGTAATCAAGCGAATGATAGCGTGAATGAAAAAAACGTGTGTTCGCCCTTATAACAGTAAGGAATGATCTAGTAAAGCTAAGCAATGTATCAGCCACGAAGTTATAAGTATCTTTGTACACATGTAAATGAACTTCTTTTTTTCCCTATCAATAACTCAGATTCGAAACCACAGGAATCAGACATCATTACAATGTGGAAAATCAGTGCAAAAAAACAAAAAACAAAAACAAAATCTCGTATCGTTTGGTCCCAAAGATAGAAGCTGACCGGCGACGACAATTTGCTCGGAACTGGAAGCTAGCTAGATCGGCTTTCGATCAGTTCGTATATTATACACTTCAACGTCTGGTTTGGTCCCCGGCTCGTACATACATCCATTTATTAACGATTTTTGTTTTTTTTTTTTTTGTAGAAATTTATTAACGATTTAACGACGATAAATGGAACGAGCGAGTAAGAAACAAATACTAGCCGGCCGGCCGGCCGGGCGTTCATGGTCCAATCCCGACCGTGCACGTGTCCACCATTTACCTCATGCAGGCATGCAGACAACAGCCCGGTAGTTGCCCCGGCAGTGTGGAAAGTGGCCGCGGCAAAGACGACGACGACGAGTGCTTAAACAACTAACTCGTGCTTCATCATTTCAGTGTGGACCACGTTTGTCGCGACGGCGAGCGAGAGTAGTGATGAATATTTATGCTACGATAATTATCGTCCGACGGGAGGAAATTTAATGGACCACGTTTATCTCGAGCTATTATTAATGAACCCCATGTTCTCAGAGAAGGAAATTGTGCAGCTGACTTTCTTGCAAGTAAAGGTCATGACTGTAATTTTGGCATACTATCTCTTCGATGTGTGCGACGTTGGTCTTAGTCAATGGCTTCGTTACGATGTAATGGGTATATCCCAAGAACGTTCTATTATTAATACGAGTTAGGTGGTAATACGCTAATCTTGTAAGTAAATGTATATGCCAAATCTTGTAAGTAGACTAATCCAGTATAATTAACAGAAATTTGATTATGATATATGCATACGTGCTAACATCTTTGAATCGCGCGAGTATCATCATCGACCGAACCATATGGACATTAGAAGAAGAAGAAAACCCAGATGTTTGGATCATATTATTTTGAAGCATCATCAACCGAATCGCAATTTAATCACACTGAGAAAAAAAAAACTGTTTACAATTTACATCACAGTAATTAAACAACGAATAGGATAAAAAAAAATCACAACTCAAATCAAAGAAACAATCCACCCAACAAAACCAGTAGTTTCCCTTGATCATCATACACAGGGCAATCTGCAGGGGAGCTGCAAAATGGAGAGATGGTCACATTCATATGGAAATACTGTAGGGCACACCTTTACCAGTAACACCAGGCTCGGAAACCGGCTTCAGAAACTCGTACGGCAGAACCCCAGCACCATTCCTGTTCCTCAGCTTCTCATTCCCATTCCTCGCGTCAACAACCCCTTCCAGCGCCTTCATCCTGCCGCTGAACCTCTCGAACGCGGCCTTGATCGTCGCGTCGTCGCCCCAGCAGGGCTCCATCGCCTGCCCGATGTACTCCTCGTCCGCGGCGTGGTTCGACAGCAGGGACAGCATCGTCATCACCACCGCGGCCTGGAGCTGGGAAGGGAACATCTCGAGGAGCACCGTCTCGGGCTCCTCGATGAACTGCTTCCATGATTCCTCGGTGGGATCCTCCGTTGGCATGTTGGTCCTGGCGATCGAAGGCCTGTTGGGGATGTAGCCGCCGTAGGTGTACTGCCCGAAGTTCACCGCGGCGTGTTGCGCTGATGCTGTCCATGCCATGGTGGTGACTATCTCGATGAGGTCGGATGGTGTGCGGAGAGATGGCCACCATGGCTCGTCTTTCTTGTCAGCATGGCCGACGGTGCGAATTTCGGTCCACCAGGATTGGAGCTCTGCGTCGGAGATGATGAGGGATGGGTTTGGGTAGTAGTGGTTGACGTAGTCGGCGACCCATTGGTTTAAGCCGTCCCATAGGATCAGGCCGTCGCTCGCGTATGGGTAGTCTTCGATTGTCAGTTTCAGGCCGTGTGGTGCTGATGGGTCCTCAACGGCCATTCCCCTGAAGATTTCAGCAAGACATTGAGAGGATATAGCAATGAGAGGAACCATAGGGATGACGATTTTGATATGATTCATTTCGTTCGTTCGTACTAACTTGTTACCCTATTCGTAGTATCCCATTTCAACTAAACTTGGTGCAATGTAGATATTGAAATACTCATTGCACACCTAATCCCATTGTAATGGAAACCAACAAGTTGGACATGAGAGGAACCACAGGGATGACGATTTCGATATAATCCGTTTGTACTAATTTGTTACCCCATCCACAGTATCCAATTTCAAACAAATTTGGTGCAATATAGATATTGAAATACTCATTGCACACCTAATCCCATTGTAATGCCAAGGGAAAAGACAGAGCTACTTACCGCCTGATCAAGTCCTTGGGAAGAGCCTCATAGTCGAACCGCCATCTCTGGTCATAATCTGCAGAGCTGAGCTGCATGGAGTATTTGAGAGGGGAGAAGCCTAATTCAATGATGCCATCAGCATTGACCAGAGTTTGGCGAGCCAGAGAGTTGATCTCCATGGTGTACCGGAAGTGAGGCAACAATAGCCTGTGAATCGGGTGCATAGCGCTCAGCTGCCGGTTTGTGGCGATGATGTACGGCTCCATGCAAGCATGTGTTTTCAGCCTGCAAAAATTGTAGAACAACCCTCAATCAGCAATCATGAAACACAATGTTGTCACATTGCATCAGCCAGAAAATGTGTTTCTTTTATGGGGTTCTTACCAGTGGCTGACTATCTCATGATAGCAAGAGTCATGAGCCAGGAAGTGAGATTTCGCCAGCTTCCACAGCCACTCCTCAGTGGCAGAGCAGTTCCCCGGTGTAAACACTTGCTTCCACTGAGGCTTCCCATCATTCTTCGAGGGTGGCCTGACCAGCTCGATTGCCACCGGCTTCAACGTGCCTACCGGAGTGAGAAAGAACAATGCTCGTGATCCATACAGCGTAGTTCCTTTGAGCAGCCTCACCGGTCCAACGAAGGGTAGCAGTAGGTCATGGTAATCTAACATGAACAGCTTCTTTTGCTTCATAGCCTGCCCAGCAATCAATCAATCAATAAGTAAATTACCACCCAAAAGTTATTACGAAAACTTGATTTCAATAAACTGTAAAGGCCAGAGGATAACATACATCATTAAAGGTCATGAACCCTCTAATTTGCTGTTCAACAATCTTTGTTGTGATTGCAGATTCTGGTGAACCATAGATCTGTGGATCAAGCTTACTCTTCAATGGCCATTGCTGTAAACAATACATTCGTTCGAGTTTATGAGCAATTCGTGTTTCGATTCGATTTGATAACCAATATCATCTACCAATTCAGAGTTTATGAGTAGAAAAAGGCATTACCTTCACCAGTTCTATTGAACAAGGATTAACACCAGCAAGAGTCTGCCTGCCAAACTGCTCGTCTTTCAACCAGAAAAATCTGTCCCCTGCAGAGAAATATCAATTCACGATCAATCAATTTGAACTAAGAGCGATTGACCTAACATGGAATGGATTGCTTACTCTTCATTGATTCAGGGACCACGAACTGCAGAAAGTCGTCGGCGCTATTAGCGACGGTCCTAATCAGCCTGGGGATGATATCCGTCCAGGGGGAATCCGCCGTGCGAGGACGGAGGTTAAGGCCTTGATCGTACATCGAATCAATGGCGGTCAAGTGCGGAAACCCTAAATCCCAATCGATCAAGAAAGTCTCCGCCGTCGGGACCACCGCGCGTAGCGCCCCAGACACCGTGGCGGAAGAGAACGCCGACTTCTTCAACTGCGAGAACTCCTCGTCGCGCGGCACGTAGAAATCGGAGTTTCCCGTCGCGAGGGGCAGCATGTTCTTGATCCAGAGAAGCGTAAAATACGTACCGGATTCTGGTCGGGGACGGCCGGTGCGGACCCGGCGAGGATAGGGGCGGTCTTTGCCGCCGAGGACGGGTCGGACGAGATCCGGATTGCCGTCAAGGTTTCCGAGGTCGTCGTAGACGTCATAATCATAGATCCGTTCTCCTTTCTCGCGCTGTCCCTCACCATTTCCTCGGAGTAGTTTCAGCTCTTCCTCCCGATACTTGATCAGTCCGGCCGGTGTCTCCGACGGCAAGTATGACTGCTCCGGCGACCGTGGAAAGCGATGTCAGATTTACAAATCATAATAATCTCCAGGACCAGGAGTGAAAAGAAGCCTATTGTTTTGTGGGCTTAAAATGGGCCGGACGAGGCCTTAAAACAGGCCTGAACACCCATATTGCGCTCAAGCCAATGGCTAATCAGTTCGTTAACAAAATGATAGGGCCCAGGCCCGTTAGCACGTGTAGCTTAGGGTTCTAATTTTTGCTTACCTTGGTAGTGAAGAAAACTCTATTCTTGGAGTCCTTAGACTTGGGATGGACCCAAGAGTCACAAACCACGTTGACCGGACCATTGACAAACCCATCGAGGACGATATCGATTAGCAACCGCTCATTACCGTGCTCGTTCTCCACAATTACTGCACCAACTTCTCCGTAATCGTCAGGAACTTCGATCTCCGCCTCGTACTTCACCTCCCCGTTCTTTTTGCTTGCTCTCTTCATACGTGATTCGATAACCGGTTTCTCTAACCCCGTCTCTTTATTTTCCGGTCATGATCATCGAGTGCACACGAAAACAAGTAACAAATTATTATGTATCAGTATCACGAATAACATATATTAACCATTCCAAGTCCACATGATTAATTAGTATTATCAATTACCAACTAATCAAGTTTTAATATGATAGTAGTAGATAATTAATTACTTCCTTACCGGGATGAAGTTGGGCGCTGACGAGTTGCAACCGGAGGCCTTTCCCAAAGAAGTCTGAAACACCGTCGCCGCCGATCCCAAGGAACCCACCCGCCGTCTCTTTCACGGTCGCCACCGCCTTCACTTTCACTGTCATCTTCACGGTCGCCGGAAATTCACTTACCACTAACCGGCGGCTGGGAGGATAGCACACGATCGAGATGATGATCAGATGGATCGAGGAAATGGGGAAACATGGTGTGGTGGATTTATATAGGAGGCTATACCTTGTGAAAATTGATAAAAAAGCTCTTATTCAACCTACTTTTGGTAGATGTGAAAAAAACGAGAACAATTATGCTAAATCATTATCAACCAACTTTCATTATGATTTTGAGAAAAACATAATTCTCTCCATTTTCATTATGTGTCAAATGCGAACTCTATACAATATGATATTGGATTGAACTCGTATAAATTTGTCGTTGAACAAGCTATCTTATAAGTTTTCGTACTAATGGAGATATGTTAAACACATGCATATAGGGGGAACTGATCCCCCTTTATTTTTGTGATATGGTACCTGAATTGCACTCCAACATTATGAAAATAAGTGAAGGTAGAAGGCATACAATTATCATTCATCATTATTTAGATTTTGTTACAAAAAAGGCTTGATTATGAACCATCAGTAAATGAAATGATTAAATGCCTTTCATGAAGCAGGGAAATATAAACATTTTAAGTGCATAGATTATTTCAATCTTCTCATTTTCCCCAAGTTGTATGAATGGCAAACTCCAACCTTCATAAACATTTTGTATTACGCCCATTGGAACGACACAATAGTTGCATCAAATGGTTGTTGGGGGGGGGGGGGGGGGGGGGGGGAACATAATAGTGGTGGCTACAAGGGCTCTAATCTCAAATCCATCTAAACGTAAATCTATACATTTACCAATCTCACCACCTTATGATAGCTTCTTTATTTATTTTTTACTTTTACCAATCCAAAATTAAATTCCAATAATTGATTCGACGAGTTATTCACCGAAATAATAAAATTTCAAAATATATGATAAAATAAAATATAACGGTTAAATTAACTAAAATATGTGTATAATTACAATTTTCTTCTCTAACTTAAAGAAGTACTTTGATATATATACTCACTAGCTAGCTTGTTCCGTTTTGAATGCTATGAAAATAATACTTAACAGAAGTAGTTTTTGAAGCAATTGACGTAAACTTTTAGGAAAAGGCAAAATAGGAAAAACAAAAAAAAAATCCCCTCCCCGTGCTCTCTATCGTGGGAAGTGGGATCGACAGTTTCGCCTGGTGCAACTCGCCGACTCCGGCCACTCCGCCCTCTCGCGGCGCCGGAAACGGCCTCATCCGATGGGGCTTTTAAAGGCCCCAGCCTGGGATCCTCGATTGCTATCGCTCTGGTGCTCTCTCACCCTTCAATCTTCGATTTCTGTGAGTTCCTCTGTCGGCGACTCCCTGCTCAAATTCCCATGGCTGCCGCTCCCAGGGTTATCTTCGGTGATGATGATGTTGCGGTTGGAGCTCTTCGAAGTGACCTATCCCTCCTGGGTAGAGTCGTCGGGGAGATGCCCCCAATCGCTCACCTCCAGAACACGTTAGGGCGCCTCTGGGGATGCCACGGAGCAGTTTCCATTAGTCCGCTAATTGATGGGGTATTGCAGTTCATTTTCCCCACGGTAGCAGATCAGGATCGTGTTCGGAAATTTTCTCATTGGTTTCTTCCAAAGTACCTGGTGAATCTGGTTCCTTGGGTGGCAGTTACGCCTGAAATTTCGGAACAGTTGTGGTGTGTTCCTCTGGGGATCCATTTTTGGGGCATCCCTACTGCCTGCTGTACGAAGAAGATGGCCATCCTGCTTGGCCAAGCTTTGGGTCGAACTGCTGCACCCTCCGTCCACCGTATCCCTTCGACAGGAGAGGTTTATCTACGTGCTCAAGTGGGGATTGATGGCCGCCATCCTTTGCCTCTGGTGGTGCCTGCTTCCCATGAAAAGGCAGGGGTTGGGGACTTCGATGCTGTGGTCCGATACGAACGGCTGCCGCAATTCTGCTATCTCTGTGGAATCATAGGCCACATTGGTCAGAAGTGCCCACGCCGGGAGGAGCTTGCTGGAGCTGATCCCCTATATGGTGCTCACATCCTGGTTCATATCAAGGGGCCAAAAGTCAATGAGAAGACCCTTTTGCGTAAGAGGATGTTCACTTGGGTTAGGCCAGAGGCTGGCTCCCCCATTGCTGCATCTCAGGGCCTTCGGCTGGATTCTGTGGAGGCTTCTGGGCATAGGATGAGAACCAGGGATCAACTGCAAGGGTCTCTCCTGCCTCCTCCTGATCCTAAGCGTCCGCGGCAGGAAGGAATAGAGGACGCTCCAGTCAATTCACTTGGAACAATGGTGGTGGCGACCAGCCAGAACTGGGCCCAATCGCCCAAATGAGCATCTTAGTGTGGAACTGTAGGGGTTTAGGCTCTTCCCTTACACTTCCTTCACTGTTTGGAGCCATTCATCGGTTTTCACCCTCCATTGTCTTCCTCAGTGAAACTAAGAGTGATGACGACTTTGTAAATAAGAAATTATTGCGTCTAGGATTTCCTTTTGTGCATTGTTTTTCTCCAGTAGGTCGGTCCGGGGGATTAGCAGTAGCTTGCTCTGCCAATGTCTCTTGTCATTTGTTAGGGGAGTCTCCCTATTACTTGTATGTCGAATGTCAACATGTAGTTTGGGGGACCATTGCTTTTATCTTTGTTCACCTACATTATGATTCTCAGCTTCGTGCTGATCAGTTTAATGAAATTGTGTCTTTGGTTTTGTCGTGTGTGTCTCCCATTGTGGTCATTGGTGACTTTAACTGCATTCTCTTTGCTTCTGAAAAATTGGGCGGCCGACTTCCATCTTTTGCAGCAATGGAGCAGTTTCATTCCTTCCTTGATACAACAGGTCTTGTTGACTTGGGTTTTAAGGGTGCTCCTTTTACTTGGTCAAATAGGCAAGGTTTGGCAACACATATTTTGGAGAGACTTGACCGTGGCCTTTCTAATGGTTCTCTGTTGGATGATTGGCCGAATTTGCAGGTAAACCATTTGACTGATCTGGGATCCGATCACCGGATGTTGCTGCTGCAGTTTGTACCTGGCGCTGGGAAGGGCAAGCCAAGGTTTCATTTTGATCGGCGGTGGTGCTATAACGCTGAGGCAATGGAGATTGCTGCTCATGAATGGCAGAAAAGGTATATGGGCACGCCTCAATTTCAGCTCTTCTCCACACTCAAAGCTGCGCGACATCAGTTTGTGGAATGGGCGAGGAAGGGTACCACAAATTCTGCGCGCCTTATTCGCGAACTCAAGTCTGCCATTGAAGCTGAACGCGACCAGCCTGCCATCGACTGGGAGGTAATTAAAAACTTGGAGATTCAGCTATCTAGTGTGTACAACGAGGAGGAGACATATTGGGCGCAGAAGTCTAGAGTGGATTGGCTTCAACGGGGCGACTCAAACACAGACTTTTTCCACTCTAAAGTTCGTCAGCATCGAAGGCAGAATCTGATAGAAGTGGTTCGGGATGATGATGGGGCTGCCCATTATGATGAAGCTGGGAAAGGATTGGTTGCAGTGAACTTTTACAAGCAGCTCTTTCTTGCTAGTGGGAATGCTTCGGCCTTTTTAGTTAATGCTTTGAACCTCCCCCGGAAGCTCTCGATTGCACACAATCTCCTCCTTTCGGCTCCGGTTTCTAGTGAAGAAATTAAGCGAGGGGTGTTCAGTATCGGGGCGCATCAAGCTCCAGGGTCCGATGGATTTACAGCAGCGTTTTATCAGACTTTTTGGGATATCATTGGCCCCTCGGTTTTGGCAGCAGCACACTCCTTCTTCCACACTGGTCGGTTGCTTCATAACATGAACCATACTCTCCTCACCCTGATCCCCAAGGTGCCGAATGCAGAATATATGAAACAGATGAGGCCTATAGGGCTTTGCCAGGTGTTTTATAAGGTTATAGCTAAGGTGCTGGCATGCAGTTTGAATCGAGTTTTGCCGGAGATTATTAGTGAGGCTCAGAATGGGTTTGTTAAAGGTCGGGATATCACAGACAACATTCTGATTGCGCAAGAGGTGATGCAATTCCTCAAGACAAAATCTCAGGGCCGTGACAAGTGGATGGCGGTGAAGCTCGATATGGAAAAGGCGTACGACCGCGTTGAATGGGGATTCTTATTTGAGGTAATGGAAGCTTTGGGATTTGATGGGACGGTAATCAAGTGGTTGAAAGCTTGTGTGACCACGGTGACCTTCTCTATAATTCTCAATGGAACAGAACATGGGTATTTCCGTCCACAGCGGGGCATCCGGCAAGGGGATCCCCTGTCTCCCTAACTCTTTGCCATTTACACAGAAGCCTTCTCGGCCATGATCGGAGGTGCGCTCTCTACAAATCAACTTCATGGACTGAAGGTACAGAGGAATGCTCCAACCGTATCGCACTTACTATTTGCTGATGATTCCTATCTCTTCTTGCGTGCCTCTACCACGGAATGCGCCTCTCTCCTCAACCTTCTCCACATCTACGAACAAGCTAGTGGGGCTAAGGTGAACCTCCTCAAGTCGTCTGTGTATTTCAGCTCCAATGTTACTGACCATGAAGCTTCCTTGCTAGCCGGACAGCTGGGGGATCACCTCTATAGGCCCTCTCGACAAGTATCTCGGCCTGCCATCGCAAGTTCAACAATCCAAGGTGCTAACATTCAAATTTGTGGAAGACGCTCTTGCTAGCCGAATTCGGAGTTGGAAGTCTAAAGCACTCTCGCAGGCAGCAAAGGAAGTAATGATTAAAGCGGTGGGTTCAGCTACTCCGGTTTATACGATGATGTCTTTTCGGCTGCCGGCCACGAGCTGTCGGCGGCTAAACAGCCAGGTGTCCAGATTTTGGTGGGCAGGGCAAGATAAAGAGAAAGGGATTCACTGGGTTTCATGGCCGGCAATTTGTGTTAGCAAGTTCCACGGCGGGCTTGGCTTCAAGGATTTCGATCTCTTTAACATCGCGATGCTAGCTAAACAGGCATGGAAACTCGTTCAGAACCCGACATCCCCCTTGGCCCGCATTTATAAAGCCCGGTACCATCATGACCGCACTTTTCTTTCTGCGACAGTGGGGAATCGGCCTTCATGGGCTTGGCAAGGCGTTCTTGAGGGACGAAAGCTCCTACTCAGAGGCCTCCGGTGGCAGGTAGGATGTGGGTCAGGCATCAACATACTCAACGACCACTGGCTGCCGTCTTCTCCTCCATCCTCTCCGACTCTACTTCCAGGTGTCTCTCTCTCTAATCCCTACGTGGCCTCTCTCATTCACCCGATGACTAGGACCTGGAATTTAGACCTCATAAGCAGCCTATTTCATCCGGACAACGTCAAGTGGATCCTCTCCATCCCGCTGCCATCTTCCCCTCTTCCAGACAAACTCATTTGGCATTACTCCGCGAACGGGGTCTACAGCGTCAAGACGGGTTACCAGGTGCTGACGGAGGACCGCGCGGCTTCCTTTGCTCCACTCCCTCCGCATTTGGATACGAAATTCTGGAAGTGCTTGTGGAATCTCCCCATCCCCCCAAAATTGAAATTTTTCTTGTGGAGATTTGTGCGCGGGTTTCTCCCGCTGTGTGTCGTCTTAAAACAGAAGACTTTGTGTGATGATGATACCTGTCCAGTTTGCTCAGATGGAGTTGAAACCTTCTCACACTGCTTCTTTAATTGCAGGATTGCGCGTGGAATCTGGGAAATTGCAGGGCATGAGGAGATCCGTCAAGATGTGTGTATGCTAACCCCGGATGTTGCTTGGCATCGTATTTTTTTCTGCTTGCAGCTCTCCAAAGTGCAGATTTCCGAGATTGTCTTCCTCGCATGGCGAGTTTGGAAAGCAAGATGCTGGTCCGTCTATGATCACGTCCAGTACTTGCCACCTGCCTTGGTCCGCCAGTTCCGAAGTCAGCTGTGTGAGTGGCAAGCCGCCACTAGTGGAAGACAACCTCAACAGCATCCGACTCGGCAGCAGGGTGGGCAGCCGCCTATGGTATCCAGCCCACCGGGGGGTATTTTGATTAGGTTCGATGGTGGCTTTCGCAAAGATGTGGGTGGCAGCTCAGGGTTCGTGGGTTTCGCGGAGGATTCAAGTCTCATTTGTGCGTATGGTAAGTTCTATGCAGGTTTGAATGATCCCTTCCTCTCAGAGCTTATTGCCCTTCGTGATTCGATGCTATGGTGTCTTCAGAATGGATTTTTTAACGTGTGTTTCTGTGGTGATTCGCAATTGGTTATTCGTCGAGTGACTGAGAGTGCAGTGCAGCATGAGACAGGAGGAGCAATCTTGGAGGAAGTTTGTCTGCTCAAATCCAACTTCCAGTTCAGCAAATTTGTCTTTGCCTCCCGTAGGACTAACAGGGCTGCCCATTTAGTGGCAAAAACGGCCGTTGCATCGGTAGCTCGGCATTCGGTCGACTACCGCTATTTACTTTTCAATTCTCTGTAAACAACTGTCTATCTACTTTCTATCTATGGCAAAAAAAAAAAAAAAAGCAATTGACGTAAGTACGTATTATATTTTTTATTTATGTGCCCATAATCTACAGGTGTTACATGTTTGATGTTTGTGACGAGAATTGTTTACAAATTGTGGGACACAATATGATCCAACGACGTAAGCAAATTATTGCACCAAAGCTCTGTTAGAGTTATCATGACTGACTACTAGGCATTTACAGTGGTGGTTAGAATTTAGAACTTAATACGAAAAACTGGGAGGAAAACTGGGAATCTTCATTAACTGAATAACAGTAACATAGTTACATTGGACAAACTGTTTACATTGCAGTAATTAAAAACGAATTGAGATGAACAAAATTAACAACACAAGTCAAATGCAATCGGCCTCTGAGCCTTATTATGTATACACAGTGCAACTCTGGAAGCTATAGGCAGAATCTGGGAGAGTTATGGAGATGATCAGATGGAAGTACTGTAAGGGACACCTTTACCAGTAACACCAGGCTCGGAAAACGGCTTCAGCAGCTCATACGGCAAAACACCAGCACCATTCCTGTTCCTCAACTTCTCATTCGCATTCCTCGCATCAATCACCACTTCCAGCGCCTTCATCCTGCCGTGGAACCTCTCGAACGCGGCCCTGATCACCGCATCGTGGCCCCAAGCGGGCTCCATCACCTGCCCGATGTACTCCTCGTCGACAGAATGGTTCGACAGGACGTCCAGGATGGCCATCACCACCGCGGCCTGGAACTGGGACGGGAACATCTCGAGGAGCACCTTCTCGGGGGTATCGATGAACTGCTTCCATGCCTCGTCGGTGGGATCCTCCGTCGGCATGTTGGTTCTGGCGATGGAAGGCCTGTTGGGGAAGTAGCCACCGTAGGCGTACTGGCCGAAGTTGACTGCTGCGTGTTGCGCTGATGCAGTCCATGCTATGGTTGTGACGATCTCGATTAAGTCGGATGGGGTGGCGAGAGATGGCCACCATGGCTCGTCTTTCTTGTCACCATGGCCGACTGTGCGGATTTCTGTCCACCAGGATTGGAGCTCGACGTCGGAGGAGACGAGGGATGGATCAGGGTAGTAGTGGTTGACGTAGTCCGAGACCCATTGGTGTAAGCCGTCCCATAGGATTAGGCCGTCGCTGGCATATGGATAGTCCTCGATTGTAAGCTTCAGGCCGTGTGGTGCCGATGGGTCTTCCACGGCCATTCCCCTGAAATTGCAGCAAAACAAAATGATATATGGTGAGTAATAGAAACTACAAGTTGCCATAGGATGATAGGGATGACAATTTCGATATGAGTCGTTCGTAAGGACCAAAAAGAAACGTTACTTACCGCCTGATTAAGTCCTTGGGAAGAGCCTCGTAGTCGAACCGCCATCTCTGGTCATAAACTGCAGAACCGAGCTGCATCGCGTATTTGAGAGGAGAGAAGGCCAATTCAATGATGCCACCAGCACTGATCAGAGCTTGGCGAGCCAAAGAGTTGATCTCCATGGTGTAACGGAAGTGAGGATGCAATAGCCTGTGAATAGGGTGCATAGCACTCAGCTGGCGATTCGTCGCAATGATGTACGGCTCTAAGCAAGCATGCGTTCTCAGACTGCAAACAAAGAAAATTTGCAGAAACCCAGTCAGAAATCATCGACACAAGCGTTGTCAACTTCCATCTGCCAAACAATGTGTTTTGGTTTGGGTCCTTACAAGTGGCTAACTAGCTCATGGTAGCCCGAATCATGAGCCAGGACGTGAGCTTTCGCCAGCTTCCATAGCCATTCCTCAGTGGCAGAGCAATTGGCTGGTGTAAAGACTCGCTTCCATTGCGGCTTCCCATCTTCCTTGGACGGGGGCCTGACCAGCTCGATCGCCACCGGCTTCAATGTGCCTACCGGAGTGAGGAAGAACAATGCTCGTGATCCATACAGTGTAGTTCCTTCCTGCTGCCTCACCAGTCCCACAAAGGGTAGCAGTAGGTCATGGTAATCCAACATGAATAGCTTCTTTCGGTCCATAGCCTGCCCAACAAGTAAGTTAGTACATCAATCCATCAGTAAATTACCACCCAGACCACGCAGAGATTCATACGAAACAAACACTCGAGTCGATTAGCTGTAGAGGGTATATATACCTCAGCAAGGGTCATGAAGCCTCTAATTTGCTGCTCAACAATCTTGGTTGTAATTGCAGATTCTGCTGGACCATAAATCTCTGGGTCAAGCTTACTCTTCAATGGCCATTCCTGTAAACAACACATTCGTTCAAATTTACGAGCAATTTGCAATTTGTCTTTCATTTCGACTTGAGGAACAATACCATCTACCAATTGGTGTTTCTGTGCAGAAAAGGGCATTACCTTGACCAGTTCTATGGAGCAAGGATTGACACCAGCAAGAGTCTGCCTGCCAAACTGCTCATCTTTCAACCAGAAAAATCTGTCCCCTGCAGAAACATGATGATCAATCAATAAGAACCCAGAACAATCGAGCTAATACGAAATAAATCGCAGATGTTTCGTGCGCCTGATTGCTTACTCTTCATCGAATCGGGGACCACGAACTGCAGAATGTCATCGGCGCTATCAACGACGGTCCTAACTAGCCTGGGGATGATGTCTGTCCAGGGCGAATCCGCCGTGCGAGGAGGCAGGTTGATACCTTGATCGTACATCGAATCAACGGCGGTCAAGTGAGGAAACCCTAAATTCCGATCGATGAATATTGTCTCCGCCGCCGGAACCACCGCGCGTAGCACCGCTGCCGTCGTCGTGGCCGAGAATCCCGACTGCTTCAACTGCGAGAACTCCTCGTCTCGCGGCACGTAGAAATTGGAGCTCCCCGTCTCCGACAACGGATCTGCATACGCCCAATTGAAAATTTAAGATCTCCGACAGCTACCTAAAGGTCGGCGGTAGCACTGATTCGGAAAAATTACGTACCGGTTTCCGTTCGGGGACGGCCGGTGCGAACCCGGCGAGGATAGGGGTGTTCTTTGCCGCCGAGAACGGGTCGGGCGAGATCCGGATTGCTGTCGGGCTTTCCGAGGTCGTTGTAGACATCGTAGTCGTAGATCCGATCGCCTTGCTGGCGCTCTCCTTCGCCATTTCCTCGCAGGAGGCTCAGCTCTTCAGCGCGGTACCTGGTGAGGCCGTTCGGCGTCTCCGACGGCAAGTACGACTGTTCCTCCGGCAATGGAAAGCGATGTCAGAAAATGACAATAATAAACGCTTCTGACTTTTGGGCTTCAAACTGGGCCCATTAACTAAACTGATATAAGGGCTTAAAACGGGCCTGGTCACCCAATAATACTCAGAACCCAATGACTCACCAATGAACAAATTGATTCGGCCCAATCGTTTTAGAACACTTGAGGGAGTAATTAACTAGGGCTTTGAGCTAACCTTGGCAGTGAAGAAAACCCTGTTCTTGGAGTCCTTAGACCTGGGATGAACCCAAGAGTCACATATTACTTTGACCGGACCATTTTCGAGGCCGTCGAGCACGATGTCGATGAGAAACAGCTCGTTATAGTGCTCGTTCTCCACAATCACGGCACCAACTTCCCCGAAATCGGCAGGGACTTCAAGCTCCGTCGCGTACTTGACTTCTCCATTCTTCTCGCTCACTTTCTTAGTACGCGTTTTGATAAGCGGCTTCTCCAATCCCGTCTCTTCATTGTTCCAATATGCATACACAACAAGCAACAAATTATTAAGTATGTGGGGATTAATCTGGTAAGTATGTTAGATTCTTGGTTTCTAGTGAAGGAGACCAGACAGGCAGTAGCTAGGCAAGTCCTTTGGTGGCCTAACTCTAGTGAGGGAAGGTGGGATTAAATTTTAATAAGCATTGTTAACTAGTACCACTAACCCTTTTGATAACTACAAAAAAAAATGGTTTATTAGGGTTTGCTTTATGAGAAGGTAATTATTGTACATGATTTTATATTTATTGCTTAATTATTTGGTGGAGCAGATACATATATACGTAAGGCGGCTATGAATTAATAATAATTATGTAATTTGGTCACAAATCACAATAGACCCACATAGTTTGTACTTATATGTGTAATATGGTGTGTCAAGGGGGCAGGTTTTTCCAAAGTCAAGGTTTGATAATTAAAGTGGTCCAATCGAAATTTTTGTCCTTGTGGAAAATTTGTATCCCATCGACGTCGAAATTGAAAAAGTAAACGGTTTCCATAAATCCAGAATTTCAACTTCACAAACAGGGGAGAAGAATATTCAATCCTTTTTAGATAGTTGTTACTGAAAATTTGATTTGGTGATGAAATTAGAAATAGATATTAAGATAAAATTCGAAGGTTATTTTGATAAATTAAGTTGAGCTTGCATGTTTCATGCATCGTCATAGTGTTTTGTTTTTTTTCAATCTAATTTATGAATAATCAACATAATTCTATTCAAATATCTCGAGATTTAAATGTTGGACGACTATAACTTTCAAAGTATTAGCTCACGTTATAAGAAACTCATGGATGGTGAACAAAAAAAAAACAATTTTCCCTCGATAACCCATGATAATTGCGAAATATCAGATACTTACATGACATTATCTACAACGAAAATTTGACCTTTCTGTCCTCAAAAGTCCATAATATTAGGTACGAATTCATCCCGATAATTAAGTTATATACATTTTCCCCTACATATAACACCACGTAATTAATAAGCACTCTCTCACTCTCATTCATAATAAACACTCTCTCACACACAAGCGCCAAACACACTCTCATTCATAATATAATCCACATGATTAATTAGTCGACACACATCTCTTCAGCAGCTAACCACAACTAATTAATTAAAAGTTAAACATAAGATTTTGTTATACTCACCAAGATGAAGTTGCGCGCTGACGAGGTGCAACTTGAGTGCTTTCCCAATGAAGTCCGAAATATCGTCCATCCCAATCCCAAGAAACCCACCCGTCGTCTCCTTCACCGTCACCACCGCCTTCACTTTCACCGCCGCCTTCTTCTCCGCCACCGGCGGCACCACCACCGTAGTAGCAGTACTACCACTCATCCTCCCCGGTGTAACAACGGAGAAGGACGGCGACGGCGGGGAAGCAGCAGTCAACATTATTGTTGCCGAGTTGTTGTTATTTTCTAGTGTGGTCTTTCTCTTGAGAAACAGTGAACGGAAGTTGCGAAACAAGAGAGCAAAAGCTGCTGGGAGAAGAACCCACAAGATCAGAGAGATCATGAAAGTTCGCCAAGAGAGAGGAAAAGGGTTTGCTCGAAATTGGAGGTAGATTGGTGGGTAAGGATTGGATTTGGTGTTTGTGTAGTGAGAAATGGGAAGAAGAGGGTGGTGGTGGATTTATATATAGGAGGGTTGGCAGAAAGCTGACGAAGAAGAAAAAAAAAATGGGGGGGGAGTGGGAATTTTCAAAGGGTGGTGGGTTTCAATGCAATCGTAGACGACCGAGATAATATGACAAGTTGGGGTTTGGAATTGGAGGGGAAGGTGAGAGGCAGTTGGGGCCTTTTTGTTCTTTTCTCGTCACGTTTGATTATTGATGGTTTTATTACATGTGATAATAATAATACTTCTAAATCTGGTTGACGAGAAAGTTCCAACGCGGGGAGTGGGAGAGGAAGAAAGATTCACTCTCGTCTCTCGATCTCCTTTTCTCTAGCTAGCTAGTGGCACATTATTGATGAACCTAGCCACTAGTGGCACACCCATCATCATTAGATGATATATATGTTATGTTTTCTTGGTAAATTCCTTCAATGGCCGGAAATGGAAAACGAGTTCGAAGTTTAGGAGGTTTGAAGTTGGGTGTTACGAGTAGTATAAGTTCTATTATTGTTAGTAATTGGTATATAACATCACACTCTATATATATATATATATATGGTGGCGTATTCGGCGCACCCACTTTTTTGGGTGCACTCAGCGCACCCGCCTCATAATCATCATTCTGAACATGCGATTCATGTCAAAACGGTATCAATTGTTGCTTATGATATTATGAACAAGAAGCACATGAATTTGAAAAAAATCATTTAAAATTTACTTTAATTTGAAGGATTTAGGATTTAGGGGTTTAGGGTTAGGGTTTAGGTTTACTATTTGGGATTTTGCATTGGGATTCAAAATTGAAGGTTAAGGGGTTACGGTAATTGATTCATTTGTTATGATTCTATGTCATATCATCATATTAGATTGAGAGTACTAATTAAAGTTCAAAATTTGATGTACTATGGACACATTTAGAGATGGGTGTACTGAGTGCACCCAAAAAAATGAGTGCACCGAAGTAGCCACCTATATATATATACGGTAATGACTGGTATACTCCATGTGATATGACTGTTAGAGCTCATCCGACAAATCTCAAACGGTCAATTAATACTTTCTATAAAATAGAACTTCGGGTTTGGGTTTAGAGAATCGGGCCAGCTGGGGGTTTATCCATTGGAGGTTAGGGTATAGTATCATATACCAAACTCGATTTAATTCATGTTCTTTGTAGAGAAATTTCACTAGAAGTACCTGGAGTATAGTATACTCCGGTAGTACACCAGTCTGACCCATATATATGATAATATATATTGTAATCTAGCTATGAGCGCATTGTCTGTGATGTTGTGATTATGAGTGATTAATTATTTTTAAGAATCATCATAATTTAATACCTAAAATTCTGAAGTTCCCATTGATTGTAAATATAAGTTTGTCATCTCGATTAATCTTTTTTTCTTTCTTTCTAGTCATGCATGAATAATACAAAATGATACAAACCCACTATATGTTACTAAAAAAACAAACATACGATACAATTTATTTAGAAATTGGTTAGAATTGGAACATGGGAACAAATCGCACCACTGCCACGATTGTTATCCCATCCATTAATTTACTACATGCATGAATCACAGCAAGCTAGCTAGCTAGTTGAAATTGTGATCATTATTCAACGAATAAAAAGAAATTGTTATCATCTATCTATATGGTGGCTAGCTAGGGTCCAAGATTTACATCGTGGCTGTAAGCATGGTGGCTAAATATTATAATCATTTTTACCAAAAGAGTTGAAGTCTTTTCTTAATCCCCACATGACACATGTGCCCTTTTTCTTGATCCACCAAACATTACCCATTATCTATTCTAGCTAGCTTTGTTTTTGTTTTTGTTTTTTGTTTGGTACACATCTAATTTTGTTCTTTTACGGGGAGATCGAGCATGGGTCAAACATAAAGGTTTCAGAGAAGGCGCTACAGCCTGTAAGGATCGGATGAGATTTCTTTCCCCAATACATTAGCCATTGATGTTTTGACAATTAGTTTCTTCAAAACAATCGTAACATATAAGAACTACAGTTGTTTAGGGTTCCGAATTGAATAAGGAATTGAGATTGGCAATAACAAAATTGGGGATTTAGAAGGAGAAATTAGGGATCGAGAAGAAGAATCGACGATGACCTTTAGAGTTATGTGGAGAATTTAAAAGAAGAGATTAGGTTTAGAAGAGATACATTTGCTAATACTTTTCTGATTAATTCATACGTTATGCCCCCAATCCATTTATATAATATATAAACCAAAACCTAGTAATAAACTTAATGTCACTCCGGCGCTAATCGGCCGTCCACACCTAACGAAATAATAATAATACCATTAATCCATGTCTCTAACGTAACATCTCTCCATCATTACATCATAAACTAGTTTGTCTCAAAAACTCGAATAACAGATAGAAACAAACTCAATTAATTCATTAGCAAAACGGGGTCTCAAATTCCACAGTGAGCTAGTCGATCGAAAAACCGTCAAACCCCGACAAGTCTAAGGACTAAGTGTGACCAGCTCTATGCTAGCTAGCTGCTGCAACTGCCAAACAGGAACACCATTGATAAAGCAGGAATTGAACCTCTATACTGCAAAATTTTCTTTTCATCAAAGAACAATTAGTTAATTACAAGAAGCTGACTAGTTAAGTATATCATCATCAGACTTTTATCCCAATATTGTGTGTCACAATTATAGATAATAAAGATGCTTGGAATCTGCCCAACTTGGTTTGGTTTGGTTTGTATGATTAGTAAATTATGTGTAGCTTCAGGGCTGGCGTGGCCACCTTCAGTGGTCCATCATATTCATACATATATAAATATTAATTATCTTCTCTACTCTAACAAAGGGATACGTATGTCTGTCTGCCTGTCTTTCTACCAAAAATAAAAAAGAATTCTTGCATGTTGAGGATATTAATTATTTAGTAAAAATAATTAATTCCTTGTCCTACAAGTCCCTAGTTTTCCTTGTTCAAGTAAAAGAAGGAAACTTGGTTGTCATTAGGGTTTTAACTTTTAACCCTACGTCTATCTCTATATAAGTTTAGCTACGAGATTGTCGTAAGCAAGCCGTCAAAATGTAGTCCCAAATAAGAGATCAGTTGTGAGCTCTTTCGAGCTCACCGTGGATTAGTCTCGGTCAATCAATCGATCGAGGATACCACGTAAAATCCCTTGTCTCGTGTTCATTTATTTCCGCATCATCAAATTCTACATTGCATGTTTTCCCTTCATCATAGGATATATATGTATGCACACACATCAAAATGAAGCAAAAAAAAAAAGAGATAATTAGGGACCAGTGTGTTTTTATGTTACTAATTACCTCGAAGATGAACATCAATTTTCTAACTAGAGAGCTCCTCTGTGGATATGAGATTCATATATACAGAATATAATGAATATATATACCCAAGAACAATGTTATAACAACGTCGAGATTCAATCAATATCAATATATAATTCAATTTTATCAATATATATACATAATTCAAATTATTGGGAGTGGTTTAAAATCTGATTTTATATATTATTCCCGTACAACTTAGTTAATGCAGAACGATGTGTTATGCATCAAAATTAGACATTTGATAAGAGAATTGAGAAAATAATTTATAGATATTTGTGGGAGATGTTGATGAGAAAAAAAAATTATTAGTTTAAGAAGAACTTAATTGGGAGGATTAGGTTTTCAAATTATCAAGAAACTCGTCGTTACTTTGTTCCTCGGTAATTCTTTTAATAATTACAGTTATACTAAACTAAATAACCAAAATAGTAATAACAAGATGATGATTATTATTATTAGGACTTTGCTACGGTGACATGCATGTCACGGTGACATGCACTTTTCGGTCGACCTCATATAGGATCAGGTCGACCTAATCTGTTGTTTCAGTGTAAAAACAGTTTCATGGTACCTACTTTGGAGATTCATATCTTACAATTGGCTAGATGGAAATTGGAGATTAAAGGCTTGTTTTGAAGCTGAGTGTCCCTCTACACATTAAAGTACTTGGGAGCTCAATAGAAAGTCCAGAAGACCATTTTTGAACCTGACCAAAAGGCTATGCCAAAACTGGGAAACTGCCTGAAAATGACTAAGTCTGGCAAAGTGTTTGTCAAGCCTACTTTGGAGCTCAATTTGAGAAGCATGGATGCGAGTCAAGTCTTGGGGCCTCTACCACGTTAAATTACGTATTTTTTTATACAAAGGCAAGGCATTGGATGAAATATTGAACATCTTTAAGGCTTCAAACAAAAGGGTCGAAGTTGCTACGAAGGTTGTTTTTCTGGCAGACTTCGAGCACCTTCGAGCGACCAGAAAAACAGCCTTCGTAGCAACTTCGAGCCTTTTGTTTGAAGTCTTACAGATATCCAATCTTTCATCCAATGCCTTGAATTTGTATATAAACATACCTAATTTAACGTGGTAGAGGCTCCTGGACTCGACTCGCATTCATGCTTCTCGAATTGAGCTCCAAAATAGGCTTCACAAACACGTTTCCAGACTTAGCAATTTCCAGGCAGTTTCCCAGTTTTGGCATAGCCTTTTGATGAGGTTCAAAAATGGTCTTCTGGACTTCCTATCGAGCTCTCAATCACTTCAATATGTAGAGAGACACTTCAGCTTCAAAATAAGTCATTAGTCTTCAATTTCTATCTAGCCAATTGTATGATATGAATATCCAAAGTTGGAACCATGAACTGTTTTTACACTGAAACAACATATTAGGTCGACCTGATTCTATATGAGGTCGACCGAATCCTAAATGAGGTCGGCCGAATCCTATATGAGGTCGACCGAATTCTAAATGAGGTCGACCTAATCCTAACTGAGGTCGACCGGAAAGTGCAAGTCACTGTGACATACATGTCACCGTAGGCACACCCTTATTATTATTATTTTATATCATATAGTCATAAGCCATTTGACCCTCAAATCCCAATAGATTGAAGAGTTAACGTTGGATGAATTTGTTGGGAGAGTCAATATCATCTATATGGTCACAAAATCATCTTAATCTTGAAAGTCCTAATCCTATGCCTCGAGAAAAAGACTCGTTTACAAAAACTTGACGAGTTAACAAAATTTTTAAATAAACACGCTGATCCACGTTAATCTTATGGGATAAGATAGAGATCGACTTTTAGATATAATTAACCATATAATTAATTACTTCCAAGAACCAAATGCTGCCCACTTAATCTCCACTATATGAATTTTTTCACATTGTAAATTGACTTATGCTAGCTCTTTAATTTTGTATAGCTATAATTTGTGCGCTTTAAACCGATTCTTACAATCAAGATCATTAAAGTTCACGAGCGTTACACTTTTCAACCGAAAGGTTCTAGTATTTTGTCCAGTAATAATACACCGGAAATAGTATTACTAAAAAAATTCATGATGGTGAATATTGCATTAAAAGAAAATACAATCAATGAAATTAAAAAAAAATTTGCATTTCCATTATCATGTCACTTTGCAATTGAATATGGTAGCTTGACGTGGATGCTCTAGAGTTGGACGCGAGAGACTGTGTTGCGGGTCGAGCCGGCCTCTTATATATCTCGACCAGTGGGACCAGGGTATCTTGGCTCAAACAATATGTATTAATGAGAATATTGATCTACTAGCCTTAATTAACGAACATTCTTGAACCAACCATCATACCTACAATCAATCAATCATTTATGTACAAGTTACAACCTTTAATATTATGTCACTAACCTAACTAATAAGCCTATTATACGAAGACCCCTAATATTAAAGCTCTTTCTGAAGACATCCTACCAAACCCTAATAGCTATTAGCTACCCCTATATATATCAGCGCTGTGGTCCAAAATTTACACCGTCGTGGTAAGCATGGTGCTGGGGAACATTTAATCTAATCCATCCAACGAGTTTAAAATCTTTCTTTAATCCCCACATGCCATCCCACTAATCGAGTTTAAATCTAAAACTAAAATAAAGTTAATTGACAAACCAACCTATAAACCTTTTTCTCTTTACAATGATTATCGTGAAGATGGTCAAACATAATGGTTCTTCGATGGAAAAGTATTTTAAACCCCATTATAGCCAATTAGCCATGAGCCCTGCAAACTTGTGTTAGTGGCCTAACAGTTTTGTTATTTAGATTGTGAATTAACGAAGTTTGGGTCATGATGCTATATTCTAATCTTTATTAGACGAATCTCAATTCATTATTCTTTAACTCAAATCATAAGATTAGTTTAATTTATAAATAATAATTGATAATTCTGATTCGTCGAAATATATAAAAGTACATACAATACGTACGAACGAAAGAATATAAAATACAAAAGGTATACGCTAACGTTTGCATATATATATATACACCACAAAGAAAACAAACAGAGAAGAAATAAGGGACCAATATGTGTTTTATATATCATTTCCATCTATCGATCGACATGTATGTTTCAAACAAGAGCTCGTTTGGGGATCTGAGACTCCTACAGGATGTGTGTCATGTCTAAGAGGGCTGTAATAACATGGTCAAGAACTAGTTAGTGCAAACAAGTACTATAGTTGTTTGCGTATCGGGGTTAAGATAGAAACTTACTTCATTTTCTGATTAGCTAGCTCGATCCCTCAATGGAGAACAAACTCATTTATTCAATTTTTTTTTTTTTTTAAAATGGTGACCTCAATTAGATAATTAAAGAAGTTACAAAGACAAAAAAGCAGAACAAACAAACGAACAACAAACAGCAAACGACAAACAAATAGCAACAAGGGGAGGACAAAAGGAGACTGAAGCCTGATCAAAGGACACCATGGCAGCCAAATCAGGATCGTCACATGCTCTCATCTCTCCTGAGCAGCAGTTCCCTTCTCAGGATTGCAAGCCAACTCTCTGCAAATTCATCATACCACATACATAAATAAATTATTATTATCAGAGATCATGCGCATATGAAAATTCTAGAGTACACATGATTTCTCGACCAGAAACACACACTTCATAATTGATATAAATTTCACAAATCAGCCGATCATCTCTAATCCAAATAATTACTATGAGTTGTTTGAGAGAAAGTCATAGATAAACTTCTATAATTTCCTTGCCACATTTCAATTATGCTTGATACTTGTACATGTATAAATTAAACGTCCATTATCTAAAATAATCATCACAAAATCATTTTGATTCTCGAAGTCCAAATACTATGCATAGCTAAAAAATTGACTCGTATGATAAAATTGATGAGTTATTTAAACAAGTTAATTATCTAAAATGATCATCAGAAAATCATTTTGATTCTCGAAGTCCAAATACTATGCCTAGCTAAAAAATTGACTTGTATGAAAAACATGATGAGTTATTTAAACAAATAAACAAGCTGATCCACGTCAATCTTAGGGATAGATAGAGATGGACTGTTAGCTAGTTACTATATTCCTCTTAATTAACGCACGTTTAATTTAAAGTGACTCCTAAACACAATAATACAACTCTCGAACCCATTTGTCGGTGTTCATATATCTCTACAATGCTGGGAATCAAAGCTAATCGGAATAGTAGTATAATTTGATGTTTATCCATTGAATTGAATATTTTAAAAACGTTTCATTAATATATCCCAACATAAAAAATAATGTACAGCCTTTGACAAATCTAGCACATAATTTTCCAAATGACAAACATTGCACGTAATTATATAGTTTAGTGCAAATATAACACACAATATTAACTATTTGCCGCCACCATTGTCTCATATCAATTGAGTTAAGGGTAGACCCGTAAAAATAATAATCTTCATCTTACATTTGTGGGCTTCAACTTTGTCTAAACTGATAATTAGAAGGCCTATGAAGCTCGTATTACAATGATCGGGGCCAAAAATTTCAGTTCTCTTGATCCAAACCAAGACCCAACATCTACTGCTTTTTGGGTTCGATTTTCGAACTCCAACTGACTTGATTGTTTGAGGATCTTCCGAGTCAACAATTCGTTTAGTAACACTTTCTTGCACATCCCATTCATCCGCAAGACAAGAGAATGACTAAAGAAAACCCCTCAAAAGTTCAAATACGGTTAGATTAAAACAATAATACAAACTTTACTCCTTTCTCTCTAATTTTACATGATCAAAAACTAACATCTAAGATGACATTTAAAAAAAAAAAAATAGAGTGCAAAATTTCAAGAAACGTATCGTTGTGTAAAAAAGAGCATTTTCCCACCCTTCTCTAAGTGGTCTTTTTATCCATGTTCCGAACGAGCTGCTTCATCTGGAATCTCCAGAACAAGAAGTAGGCCAGGCCCAGCCCAATCATAACATACAAAATTACATTCTCGTCCTCGCCCTCCTTCGCCGACCGAACCTCCTCTATCCTAAACCACTCCCTCTCTACTTCTACATTCCCCAAAATGCCCTCCATCACGCTCCCATATAACACGTACGCCCTGTCCTCCGCCGCCGCCGCCACCGCCGTCGCGAACCCTTCCCGGTCCTCCAGCTCCACCGAATCGAACACCGCCGCCTCCGCCCAGCTATCGTCGCTCTTCAAAAACCACACCTTCTCGTGCGACACCACCAGCGCGGCCCCGTCCCGCCTCCTCACCGCGATCCCGTCGGCGTGCATCAGATCCGCCGGCAGGATCACCCGCCTCGCTCCCCCGGTGACCTCATCGACCTTGAACACCTTCCCGGTGTTGCTCTGCACCACGAGAAGGTACCCCTTGCTGACGTAGGCCACGCCGTTGAGCCCCGATTCGCTGTACGGCAGGTCGCGGTCGACGGGGGATTCGGTGAATTTATCCGATCTGGAGAAGATCGACGCGTTTCCTTCCGAATCTACTTTCCAGATGAAGTTCCCTTCATCGGTTCCCAAGGAATTGGTGACGTACGCGTTGCCCTTGAAGTCGACGGCCACCGCGTTGGCGACGGGGCGGGCGGCGGTGGCGGTGGCTCCGCCGTCGGGGAGGAGGGAGAGGAAGAGCTGCTGGCGGGTGCGGAGGTCGTAGGCGGCGAGGGCGTTGAAGATTGGGAGCGGGGCCATGGAGTGGACGGCGGCGAGGAGGCGGTTGTTGACGGAATCGACCGCCAGGCCGAGGATCGAGGCGTTGGGAGGGAGGGAGAGGTCGGTGATGAGGGTGTCGACGACGCCCGCATCGGAGACGGAGTGGATCGTGCGGTGGCGGAGGGATCCGACGACGAAGTGCTGTGCGGAGCGGTCGTAGGCGAGTCCCTCTGGGTAGAGATTGGGGGATCGGAACTTGATGACGTGTGGTTTCCCCGCCGTGGATGGGATTGGCGCGATTAGGAGGATGAGGATGGAGAAGAGGAAGGAGATCGGAGAGATTGCAGCCATGGCGGATTGAAATGATTGATTTTGCGGGGGCGCGCGCTAGCTAGGGATTTGGAGTTTGGCTAATGGCGATGGGATTTAGGAGTTGTGTCGAGAAAGTGGTCAACTGGCGTCCGTCACTGGCCGCCGATTATGTGATAAATTAAATCTTGAAAATAAGTTTTTATTTTTTAAGATTACTCCTGACGCGAGATAAACTCATAGGCATGTACATAGCCTGAGTCGTTATTTTACTTATTATTTAGGTAAAGGGTTAAAGACACATTTGGTCACTGGGTTTACTAAAATGTGTCATGTTTAGTCACTGAAAAAAACAAATATCAAATTTGGTCACTCGAATTAATAAAACGGTCCATATTTAGTCACTCTCCGTTAACTTTGCAGTCAACCCTAACAGTTGACTGTTAAATGTCTGACGTGGCGATTAAAAAATTAATAAAAAATTAATTTACTTTTTTTAATATTTTCACATCATTAAAATAATAAAATAAATAAATAAAAGTAAATTAAATCTTTTCTCCTCTCCACAACCGCCCCAGCGTCTTCTTTTTCAACCTCCCCCACTGCCGCTGCCGCCGGCAAAACTCCGGCGTCTTCTTGTTCAGCTTGTTGCTGTCAATGTCCTCCATGGTCAACTTGGCGAGCTCTTCAATCCCATTCTCGGTGACAAGCTTCATGGGTTCTTTCTCCAGCTTCACTTTCTCCTGTGACCATTCTTAAAGCACCCAGATTAGCTAGGGTTTTGGTACTTTCTCTGCTATACCTCGACGGCGAGAACAGGAGGGAAGCGGTTTCTCTCTCGATCGGCAGGACGAAGGCGGCGCGAGGCAAACTTCCTGAAGCAACATGGTCAGTACTCGTTTTAGATCTTTGATCTGTTGTATGAACTCCTGCTCTGTTCGTTTCTCTCTTTTGTTTCTGATAGTAGCCTAAATTTCTGGCGTTTCTTTTCGATGTAAACAGGCGAGAGGACTGAAGAAGCACCTGAAAAGGCTCAATGCGCCGAAGCATTGGATGTTGGACAAGCTCGGCGGGGCATTCGTGAGTCGCTGGACTTAATATTTGATTGATCTAGGTCGTCGTCACGATGGCGGGAGCTACCCAATTTGGAACGAGAAGGTCGTCGTCACGATGTCGATGGCGGCGACTAGTTCGGTGACGGTGGAAGTGCAGTGCAGGGTCGGATCGGGAAACAGAGTCGTCGGGGCGGTGGCGGTACCGGTTTCCGATTTCTTGGGAGATCTTACGCCGGAGGATTACCTGCATTTTTTGAGCTACCGGTTGCGGGACCCGCGAGGGGTTAAGAACGGGATCGTCAATTTCTCGGTTAGGGTTATCGGCGGCGGCGGAAGGGGATGTAGTTGTTCGGCGGCGGCGAGGAAGGAGATGGTGGGGGCGGGCTTTGGCGGTTCTTCCACGTACTCTCCTTCGTGGGGCGCGCCGCCGTCTTCGTCATGGAGAATGCAGGTGGGAGTGCCGGTGGTGGGCGGCCGGAGAAATTACGGTGGCGGCGGAGTGGTCACCGGCATTCCTGTTTGGGGCTCGTCCCGAGGAGAAAGTGAAGCTGGAGAAAAGATTTAATTTACTTTTATTTATTTATTTTATTATTTTAATGATGTGGAAATATTAAAAAAAATAAATTAATTTTTTTATTAATTTTTTAATCGCCACGTCAGACATTTAACAGTCAACTGTTAGGGTTGACTGCAAAGTTAACGGAGAGTGACTAAATATGGACCGTTTTATTAATTCGAGTGACCAAATTTGATATTTATTTTTTTCAGTGACTAAACATGACACATTTTAGTAAACCCAGTGACCAAATGTGTCTTTAACCCTTTAGGTAAATGAAAACAGAAAACCTTGTTAACCAAAGGCTTTCCAAACCGAAACAAAACAAAGAGGTCCAACCAAAACCCAACCCAATGGACCCATTTCCAAGTCTTCTTATTCTCATGCAACTCCCCAACCACAGCAAAAGAACAACACACCACCATTCCTAAATGGAAATGCTATACGGAACTCCCTTACCAGTAACTCCACTCTCCGAGAACGGCTTCAGCAGCTCATAAGGATACACCCCAGCTCCACTCCTGTTCTTCCTCGACGAATCCGCATTCCTCGCGTCGATCTCCCCCTCAATCTCCTTCTGCCTGCCGTTGAACTTCTCGAAAGCAGCCTTCACGTTCGGATCGTCGCGCCACGCAGGCTCGATCGGCCCTCCGAGGTACTCCTCGTCGGGGGCATGAGCCGACAGCACGTCCAGCACGGTCATCACCGTGGTAGCCTGAATCTGGGACGGCAGGGTGGCGAGAAGCGCCTGCTCGGGTTTCTCGATGAACAGCTTCCACTCGTCCTCGGTCGGGTCCTCGTCGGGCATTTTCACCCTGGCGGTGGTCGGCTGGTTCGGGAAGTAACCCCCGAACGCGTACTGCCCGAAGTTTACCGCTGCGTGGTGGCCAGAGACGACCCAGATGATGGTGGTGCAGACCTCGACGAGGTCCTGTTGGGTGGAGATGGTCGGCCACCACGGCTCGTCTTTCTTGTCCTCGTGGCCCTGGTTGCGGACTTCGGACCACCATGCTTGGAGCTCGGCGTCGGAGGAGACGGATTGGGAGTCTGGGTAGTATTGGTTGACGTAGTCGGTCACCCATGTCTTGATGGAGTCCCAGATGAGGAGGCCGTCGTTGGCGTACGGGTAGTCTTCAATTGTTAGCTTCACACCATGTGGTGCAGATGGGTCTTCCACAGCCAGTCCACTGCATGACACCACGAAATCAGAAGGCTAACATTAGGCATTTGCCACCTCCAACCAACATTTGCTAGCTAAAGATGAAAAACCAAACAAGTGGAATGTGTGAAATTACTAGTATATAACTCACCGGTTAATCAGATCATGAGGAAGTCCTTCCTTATCGAAACGCCAAGATTGGCCATAGATCGCGGAGCTAGCCTGCATGCAGTACTTGAGAGGGGCGAAAGTCGACTCAATGACTCCACCAGCATTGATCAGAGCTTGTCGTGCCAGCGCGTTGATCTCCATCGTGTATCGGAAGTGAGGGAGCAAGAGCCGGTGGACTGGGTGCATCGCGCTGAGCTGGCGTTTCGCTGCAATTATGTAGGGTTCTGTGCAGCAATGGGTTCTCAGCCAGTGACTGATGAGCTGATGATAGGCAGAGTCGTGGGACAGGACATGAGCTTTGGCGAACCTCCACAGCCAGACATCTGTAGCAGAGGAATAGTTCGGTACATACACTTTCTTCCATTGTGGCTTTCCATCGAGTGGTGGTCGAGTGAGTTCGATTGCTAGAGGCCTCAATGTACCAGCTGGGCAAAGGTAGAATACAGTTCGTGACCCGTATAATGTCGTGTTGTCGAGCTCTCTGGTTTTGCCCACAAATGGCAACAAGACATCATGGTAGTCGAGCATGAATAGCTTCTTTTGTTGGATGGCCTAAACAGAGCAATAACACAAACGTTAGAGAATGACAGAGTGTTGATTAGTTTCAGAGTTGAAAACGATTCATACATCTTCCAGTGTTGTATAGCCTCTGATTTCCTTCTCAATGAGTTCTTTAGTGATTCCAGACTCTTGAGGTCCATAGACGGCAGGGTCCAGGGTACCCATAATAGGCCACTCCTAAAAATATTCCAAACAAAGAGCCATAAAGTTAGTTAATTTACTAGTTTTACTACTTTGGCAACACAGAATTCCAAATAGCATGGGTGTGTTTATAACTAACTTTTCTTGCTAAATTAGATTACCTTGATCAACTGTATGGTGCATGGGTTGACACCAGCAAGTGTCTGCCTAGCAAATTCCTCATCAGTGAACCAGAAAAAGCTGTTTCCTGGAGTTACATACAAAATCTTTTCAGTTATACATTTACAATTTGACTGAAGCAGATCAGGGACCCATCTCGGATTGATTACCAGTAATGATATTAAACAACTTGACATCTATAATGTTGAGTTAGAACTCAAAACAGAGAAGGAAGTAGCTTACTGTCCATTGTTGGAGGGACCTCAAACTGCAACACATCATTGCTAGCTTCAGCTGAGTTCCTGATGAGCGTCGGCAGGAAAGATACAAGATTTGTCTGCGAATAGGGAGGCAAGTTGAGCCCTTGGTCGAACAAGTTGTTCACGGCTGTGAAGTGTGGGAACCCAAGCTTAGGGTCGATGAGTATGGTCTCCAGAGTTGGCACCAAGGCGTGCAAAGCTGAGTACAACGTCTTCACCCCAAACTGCGCAGTCTTAATCTCTGAGAACTCCTCATCACGAGGCACATAAAAGTAAAGCGCCCTCGTTTCGTCTTCTGGATCTGTCAAGTAGTAGTTCATATGTTAAGTAATAAGATAGTAAGAGACACCATACAAGAACTGTGAAGATCAATAGTTAAAGGTATAGCCATGGAGTATTCACTACTTTTGGATGATCGTGGTCGTCCTGTTCTGCATCGCCTGGGGTAAGGGTTCTCTTTACCACCCAATACAGGTCTTGCGTTGCCGAGATCATTGTAGACGTCGTAGTCGTATATCCTGTCGCCTTTCTTGCGCTCACCTTGGCCACTCCCTCGCAGAACCACAAGCTCATCAGTTCGCAACTTCTTCAACCCCGTTGGCGTATCAGATGGCAAGTACGACTGTTCTCATAACAAGCCACAACCACTAATTAGTCAACGATTTATATGTAACAGAAAGTCTCAGACCCAGTCGTCACATGTCTCAGCGGCATTTTATCAAACACCTGGTGAGCAACGAAATTGTGATATTTCAGAAACCACAAAGGGTTTCCGATAAGATTAAGGTAGCTTTTACCTTGGTAGTGAAGAAGACCCTTTTGGGCTTGCCGGAGATCTTGGCCGGAACCCAGGACTCGCACTCGATGTTGACGGAGCCGGTGGCGAAGCCTTCAAGGACGATGTCCTTGAGGAACATCTCCCTGATGTGCAAATTGTCAATTCGAACCGCTCCGACCGTACCGAAATCGGCCGACAAGCCGAACGATGCTTGGTACTTGATCTCCGTGCCATTTATCCCGGCGAAGCTAGCCAACGAGCTCACCGTCGGCTTCGGCTTTCCCGTCTCTTAATCCAAGGAAAAAAGGTCGATCGAACAGTGGAGTGTGAGTGTGAGTGTGAGTGTAAGTGTTAACGACAAAAATAATTACTATCTCCAAAATGATCATTTTGATTTTCGAATTTGGCATAAAACGGTCACACATCTTTTATCTTTTCCAAACGGGTACCATAAGTTTGAAAACTTTTATGATACGGTCACTTTCGATCTTTCAAATAGTAAAAAAAAAACTTAATAAAATACCATCAAAATCTAGTTTAACATTCGAGCTAATCTAATAATTAGTCATAAGTGCTACTTAATAAGTCAAATTAACTGGTCGAGATTCATTCTCCATGCAAATAATGAAAGGAACCATCAGTGGAGTGTAAGTTTTAACTTTTTACAACAAAAAGACTTGACATCTCCAATATGATCATTTTCATTTTTGACATTAATACAAAATGGCCATACATCTTTTATCTTTTCCAAACTGATACCACAAGTTTGAAAACTTTTACGAACCGACCACCTTCGATTTTTAAACTAGTAATAAAATTAATAAAATACTATCAAAATCTAGTTTAACATTAGATCGAGCTGATCTAATAAAGTCATATAAATAACTTATTTTTCGGATCAAAAAGAGAACTAGATCGAAATAAATCAGAGTGTAAAAATGAATTTTAACTTTTCCTTTTCGTTAACTCGATAAGTCAAATTAACTAGTAGCGAGATTCTCCGTGAAGATAATGGAAGAAAACATATCTACGAATTCGGATTTTACCAAAAAAAAATTACAACTTTAGTCTTTATACTATTATAAGTTAACAAAAACATCCTTACTGGGATCAAGCTCGGCGGGAATGAGCTCCAAGATCATGGAAGTCCCCAGCAAGTCAGCAACGGTGTTGGGCACCAGCACGGTGTCTGCCAGAAACCCGCCGACGGTCTGCTTCACGGTGACGACGGCCTTCACCTTCACGGCGGCGAGCGGGTTGAGCGCCGCCAGCCCGCCGAGGATCGCCTTCACGGCCGCCCCGGATTGCCGGACCCGACCCGGGTTGACCGGGTTGGTTCCCTTGACGACTTTGGAGAACTTGGTGGGCGACGGCCTCGTGGCGAGGGAGGCAATGCCGGCGCCGGTGCCGTTGAGGAACGGCTTCTCCGTCGCCGTCGACGGGTTGAACAGGCCGGTGGATTGGTGAAGGCTCTGCATTTTGCTTTTGAGGCTCTCACTTGTGTTGGTGAGAAAGAGAGTGAGTTGCAGATTTTGGTGGAGGTGAAGCTCTGGTTTTATAGCGGTGGGGAAAGGTGGAAGATTGTATTGGGCTAATTTGCACGTGGAAAATTGAACGGGGACTATTGGAGATAAAATCGAGAACTTCGATTCAATAATATGTTAGGTAGGGCAGTATTATAAAATGTATAATAATGGATCAATAAACATAATGTAAAATAGCCTAGAGTCATACATCAGTCGGTTGTAGAAAGGGGTGTCGATTCGGTTAATCGAGTCGAAACTATTAAAGCATCGAGAAATCGTCTTAGATAGTGTTTTTTTTTAAATCGAAATCGTTAATTTAATCGAAACCGTTGGAAATTGGAAAACCGATTGGATTTTCTACCGCGACACAAATTTGGAGCATATAGTAATATTCTATTGTTAAAGTGTGGCATGGTGTGTGGCTGTACATGGGCGCTGGTCCATGCTTGGGCCGGCACGGGCACACTTCGGGCCCATTTATTTCGTGAAAGCCCATTTGTTAATTTTGCTAGGCCCGGCCTAGACCCGAACACGGTTCGAATCGTGTCGTGCCTATTCGTGCTCGTGTCGTAGTCGTATTCGTGTCTAATGAAAAGGAAGAAAATAAAAGAGAGAATGAAAAAGAAGGTGAAAAATTGGACGGAGAAAGATAGTATTAACCGAAAATGTTTGAGAAAAGTAACAAATAAGGGGGACAAGAAAATTGAAAATATAGCGGGTATGATTTGACCTTGTTTAATTCTTCGTCCATTTTTACTTATGGTAGTAATTACGTATATATCTTTATGACACTTCTAACAAAAATAAATAATTATTTTTCTACTTGTAATATTTGAACCTATAATTCTTTATATATTTATTATTCTAATCAAATAAATGTTATTTTAGTGTCATATCCATTTTTATACTCAATAAAATCTCGAATAGACCCAACACAGCTCATTTATTTCGTGCCCGTACTCGTGCCGTGTTATAACCGTGCCGTGCTAGCCCGTGGACGGCCCGTCCCGGTGCCCAGGTGTGACGAAAGAATGACATGATGACAAAATGAACAAAAAGCGTATCCAAGAATGGAAAATTTTAAGGCTAAATTACACGTTTGGTCACTCAAATTATATAAATCTTTCACCTTTGCCACCCGAATTACTTTTTTCTTATTCGCCACTAACTTTACGAATCATTTCATTGTTAGTCACCGACCGTTAGTCTCCGTTAAATTCCGTTAACTCCGTCAAATTTTTGATGATGTGGCAAACAGAAGTGCTGATTGTACCATCAACTAATGACATGTCAATTTTAAAAATTAAAAATTAAAAATTAAAAATTAAAAATTAAAAATTAAAAATTAAAAAAAATGATCCTTTCATTCTCCACTGCCGGCGTCGACCACACTCCAAATAACATGTTCCTCTTGGGCCCGTCCCCATCGCTCCGACGCCGCCGAGGGCTTCCCCTGTTTCGAAGTTATCGGCAGATCTCGCCGCTAGACTGTACCGAGAAGTTATATCTCGCTCATTCAATCTGTTTCGAAGACCTCAAAGAGGCATAAGTTCAAAGTAGTGAAAGGAGCTTTAGTCAATGAATAGCGCTTGCTCTCTTCCATATCAAATCTCCCAAAGATATTTCATTAACAAAATTGGGCAGATTCATGATTTATTGATTTTTTGTGGTGAAATAAGAAAGTGTTTTTAGGTTTGGTCGTGGAGTAGAGAGAAGAACCGTTTGTTGGAGACTGGGCTTGAGGGAAGAGAAGCAGGGGTAGTCGGAAAAGTTTTCACTCTCCTGCTTGTGGGAAGAAAACCAGTGGTGCCAGATCTGTTGCTGTCGACGAGAGGAAGAAGATGGCTGATCCGGATCAATTTCTAGAAAATCATAGCACATAGTGATTTCCACGCTCTTTCTGGGCGATTCTCCACGAACAGATCTGCATGGAGAAGCACCGTCATCAAATGGAAGAGGGAACAGGGCTTGAAACTGGTTGCGGATGGGTTCTGGGCTTGAAACCCAAAAATGCAGAGGATGTAGCTTCGAGATGAATCGTAGAAATAGAAACCACTCCAGCAACGATGGAGAGCGGCGGCGGCGACCGGAAGCACAAAGCCAAGCAGTAAGCACGAAAAGTTTTAACTTGGGTACTGGTGGCGAAATCGGAGCTAGGCATTTGGGGGTTTTGATTTTACTTGGATGGAATCTCGGGATTTCAGGTGACGAAGAGGCTGGATCCTGGCGAGGAGGAATGGAAGGACTGGAATGGTGATCGGAAGGGGATGGAATGGTAAATGGAGCTTTCTTCGTGTCGCCGGCCGGCTAAGAGATGAGCTGTAAATTATTTTTTAAATTTTAATATTTTTAAATTGACATATTATTAAGTTAACGGTCTAGTCAGCAATTCTGTTTGCCACGTCATCAAAAAATTGACGGAGTTAACGGAGTGTGACGGAGACTAACGGTTGGTGACTAACGGTGAAATTATCTGTAAAGTTAGTGGCGAATAAGAAAGAAAAGTAATTTGGGTGTTAAACGTGAAAAATTTATGTAATTTGAGTGACCAAATGTGTAATTTAGCCAAAATTTTAATATATACAAGATGGGCATGTTTAAAACTAGATTAATCATCAATTTTTAAAATTTTAATTGATGACATTTGCTTAATTTAGCTTTAGTACGATGTACTTTACTCATGAACTTGTATATTGATCATAGGATGAATATCTGAAATCTATAACGAGTCTTAAAAATGTTAAAATTACTGTTAATCATAAAGAAATTTATGCAAATTAATAGTTATCGTTGTACATCATTATCTAGTTGAACATTAATGTCTTTTTTGTGACAGATTAGATGATTAAATTAATAATTATGAGATTGAATGTATCATATGATTAAATTAATATTATAACTCAATCAAACTGGGCAAAATATAAAATCAAGGATCTAAAATGTTGCTTACACTTGAAATTTAAAAAAAGCAATAACTCTTCAAACTCGTGTAATAACCGAAAAATCATACAGATCAATTAAGTCGAATCCATATAAACCCTATTGGCTTGGATGCTACTTAAGAAGTTAATTACACCAATCAATGGAAGTGCGGAAATCAAATATACGAATACGATCTCTCATATGCTAAACAAATGACATCCGGTACTTCAATTGGGCTGGTCCTTTATCATTTGCTTGTGGGATGAGTAATGGATTTCACATTTAACAAATATTTCATTTGGGTTTTAATAATGCATTTCATAAATTTGCAAATCTCACATTTCATTTGGGATTTGATAATGTGAGACAAAATCATCATAAATCCAAAAAAAATTTCAAACTCAAAATTTTCATTTCCAAATCTCACAACATTATGCTTCAAGTACACCGTCTTTCCCATAAACTAACATTATGATGTTTGGTGAGTAGGTGATCCGTGTTTATTATATGCGAAAGACTATCTCTGGTAAAATATCATTAGATGGACCACTTTTCCCGTTGTTAATAGTTTTTGACCACCACACAACATGCATTAGTGACCGTAATTGGACGTTTACCGACTACTAGTCATAGACTGACATTTAATTAATTGCCTTAACAACCGATATCTTCCCGGATTTATTTTTCTGAGAAAAAAAAAGGCAGTGGGACACTTTGTTTCAAAACAAAATTTCATAGCGAATTATGAAACTAATTAAACAGGTGTCTAACAATACTAAAAGACTCATATCGTCGAAGCAAACAATCGACAGGACATCTATTATTTCGGTAAACATAAAAGATGTGAACAATCCAAACATTGTCGAAAAAAATCGTGAAACTGAAAGTCGTATTAGCTAGTTTTCTTTTTATTCAAAGAAGTTTTTGATAAAGTGAAGAAATGAAATGCATCATCAACCATCCCAGTTGAGTATACCGAATACCACGACGGACGATGAGACGATAATGCTCAATTTTTGTTTTCCGAACTCGCGACTCACGTTTTCAAAGAGACTTAATGAAACATCGAGCATAAGAATGTGTGGGTCGTGTATGGTAACCGAGACGGATTCCGTTATGTACTAAGGACGCGCTTCTTCATCTAATGTCGTCACGAGAATTCTAAATGAATTATTTCGTTATTCCATGAAAAATATGATTGCTTCTCATAATTAAGTCTAATGATGGTAATCAGTTATCAGATCCAGCTTTCTTTGCTATCTTACGGATAAGTGAGTAGCCCGATTTTTTTCGAGGTTTCAAGAGGTTGATCTCGCACTTGCTGTCTGAATCATAGTACTGTTTGTGATTTGCAATGATATGTCTGTGGATTGATGGGGGGGAGTTATGGGCAAATTTGATTGCTGCAGTAGAGGTGAGGGGGGAGAAATCAAAGCACACATCACCTAGTTATGGCACCTCGATATGTGTTCTTATCTTTGAATATGTGTCATACACAATATTTATGCATATGTTTGCTCCACGTACGTACGTGCGTTCATTATATTATATCAGGATTACAGCTACGTATGTCTCTTTCTAGTGGGTTTACAAGAGTCCTTAATTACACTATTAGGGTAAATTAGACAGTCACCTTCGGGTTTGAGAATCAAGGTTCTCTCCTAGTACATCTCTTTTTTTGGTAAAAAGGACGTTTAAAAACGTCATTAACATTTTCGGTTTAGTTCCCCTTATGTGCTAAAAGTTATCTTAAGAAAGTAACCACCAATAATCCCGACAAATATTAATGAGTGCCTTTGTTTTATTTTTAAATATATACTAAATCATTTCGTTGATAGTAAATTTTGAGTGGGGTTTCATGCTTTGCTAGAAATTTGGTTGAGATTGATGGGATCTCAATACACTATTAAAATCTTCTGACTTCTGGTGGTTGGAGCGATGGCAAGTACATTAAGTAATAATGTTAGGGTATTACTACTACTTTTATAACAAAAAAAAAGTTGGTAAGAAATACCTCACATGTTCGTATAACAAAATACGATGTACTTGATTGAACATGTTATGACTTATGACTAGCATTTTGGGTCGAGATCTATATATACAAAGACCACCATCAAGTTATATATATATATATATATATGATATATATATATATATATATATATATATATATATATATACATGATCATGAATCCATGTAACAATTCCTACTCGATTGTGTTGTAGGATGAATTAAGAGATCGTAAGAGGCTATTCACCCGGTTGATGTTGGTTTGGGCCAGCTCTCATTGTGCTTTGAGCATAAATGAAAAGTTCAATCTAGCCAGAGTATGTAGTCCGTCTGTGAGCAGAACCATTCTCTATATCATTCATTGTCTTGTCCTCGTATTTAGTTCAAAATACTTTATTATTTCACGTATATGATGTATTCATTTCGCCGAAATTACTATCATATGCATCTTATTAAAACGATGAGTTGTTCCTCGGTCAGATCATATATCGATTAGGAAAGGACAGGGGTGTAACCATAAAATAATATGTCATGGAAATACACACAACAAAATTCGAGATTTTATTACAAGGGGCAAAGGGTAGATGAGATCTATGGTACTTACTTACCACCCACATGCCAATTCGTCGGGGTCAACAAATATTGATTGAACTCTTGTCTTTTTATACCTTGGATTCGTTGGCGTTATCAGAGTGATTAGTGTAATTATTTTGCACAACCAAATATGAATGATCACTCTCTTATTCGTCGATAAACAAATCATAATTAATCTGTAGTTAATGCAATACCCTACATCTATGATAATAATATGTGATAGTGATACAACTTCTTTTCTTACCAACTCAAATTATTTCGATCCATGAACCCGTTTACTTAAAGTCTTGATTGAACATGTTATATATGACTAGCACTTTGGGTTTATATCTATGGAAAGATCATCATCAAGTTGTCTATACATACGGTATCTGAGTAGTTACGGGCAAGACTATAATTATCAGTAAAAAGCTAGGCATTCTACAAACATGATCATGAATCCATGTAACAACTCCGACTCAAATATGTTGTAGGATAGATCAAGAGATCGTAAGAGACTAGTCCGTCATATTAATGCTGGTCTGGCTAGCTCATTTGATCAATAAATGAAAAAGTACAATCGTTAGGTAGAGTAGTATGCATGTGGACCATAAACCATCACCTTAAATCTAAATCATTCGTTATCTTCATATTTTAATTTAAAATACCTGATTGTTTTGCACCATTATGTATCAGTTTCGTTTGACAAACGTATCTTGCTACCAACGAGTTAAACGATCCAGTTATGCAACTCGACCGGGTTTGATGACTTCGTACCATGTATCGATTAGGAAAGGGCAGGAGTAATCATAAACAATATGTCATGAATTACTATACACAACAAACATCCGAGAATTTACACGGGGGCAAAGAATGGATCTATAGCACCAATTTTTGTATTGGTTGAACTAATACTAATTGAAAATACAGAGTAAAAATCAATAACAAACATTTATTCCGCGGATCAATCGACCCAACCACCCACATGCCAATGCGTCGGATTCTACAATGATTGATTGATCTCCTTGTCTTTTTATATATACAATTGGATTAGTTGGCGTTGTCCAATGATCAATGTAATTATGAACAAAATAATATTTTTATAGTAAAATACTAATATGGTAATTAAGAAATAAAAATATTGTGTCTGAAGTATGTGATGATAAATGATCCGTCTCTAATTCGTCAATAAACATGCTATAATTAAATCGCAATTCATATCGTAACTATACACTATCAGTTCTTTATGATAATAACATAAAATATTATACAACATCGAGTTCCTACTGACTCGAATTATTTACACCCATAAAACCTTGTAGTATATGTCATCTCTATTTTCAATCTCCACTAAGAAAATAAAATAAAACAAAATATTCTCAGCATGGCTTTAATTTTTCTTTTATCAACATAGTTATTGGTGCAGTCAATGCATGATATCTATCGGTTTCATCATTTCCCGCATATCTTAATTAGTTACATTTTCAATGTTATCCGATTTTATCTTATCTATTTTCTCTCTTTGTTTTTTTTTTTTTTTGAAATCCCCCCATTTCCTTATATTCTGAACGCCATAAAATAATTGGAAATAATTAAGAAATTATGGGGATCTGACATAATCGAACGTAGGCGTACACGTATGGGTTCACATGCATGCATGTGTTTCATGTGGTCTGTTTATTTTATTTTATATATCAGACCACGTAATGATGACGGTACGTACGACTAAAATCATCTAATCCATGGTTTGTTAATTTGATATTCGGTAATAAGATACAAAAATTTTCTTAATCATGATGCTTGTAATTTATAGTGTGTACTATGTCAAAATGTGCTCGAGAAATTCATGTGAATCATGTATCTTCTCTTCCTGTCAAATTAAAAGAGTCTTTTAAAAAAAAAATTACACGATGGACGGTGAAGGAGTTAGGTTTGACAAAAAAAAAAGATACATATATAATTCGTAACAAATTTCGATGCTAGGCAATACAAATCTCTCGTAACTACGAAGAAGGTAGTTTTGTAGCAAATTGTCTAATTAGCTTCATGACGTACTACATATGTGCACCCATATGTAGTTTCATGTCCATTTTCAGAGTTCGATCCAATCACTTTCTGCTTTTATTTCCTTTTATCTCTTTGCTATTGAGATATACCTACTCATGTTGGCATTAATATACACAATTTTTTTTTGTGTAAAATTACATACGGGACCCTCTATATTTATACTATAGGTCTTGACAAATAGGGCAAATGAGTACAATTTTTTTCCGGGTAGAAAATGAGTACAACTTTCCAACACTCGAATAATGTTGCGGGACACAAATCATTGACCATAATGGCAATGCAATAAATCGACGTCGTGGTGGGGGTGAGTTGGCAACGTGAATAATATGGCAGGTTAACTATTTAGCGACGGGACAATTAATAATTTAATATTCCACCATAGTCTTTATATCTAAATTAGTAATGTAATCGTGATGGTTAAATTGTAGCTAAATTACAACTAGTTGATGATTAAAAAAAATCTGTAAATTAACTTAAACTTAAGTATATGCTCTCTCTACCGATGATTTTTTATGGCCGCATGAAGCATGACCGACTAAGAGATGAGGATACGTTTTACAAAATCTAACAAGTTAAGGATCGTGACGAAAAATAGTTATAGAGCACTTCATTGTCACACCCCTTCAACAATTAAGCACGCTAAATTTTTGCATTACTATACTCTTACCATACGTGGTTAACCTTTTTTAATTATATTGTTTTGATTAACCTCTTTTTTTTTTAATGCAGTACGGTTTTGTTGTTTAAATTTTGTGTATATTTTATATGGTGTCTCATCTCTCTTGCATTATTGGTATGCAACCGGCCAAATTCAATAATTTATATCGGGAACCATATCCACCTACCTTATACAGTGACCACTAATAACAACAATCAAAATAGGAGTGATTTAATAGTAATATTGTGAACTGATGGCTGATGGCTGATGGTGATCTAAAAGTGGAGCAAAAAAGATATGGACGAAAGGTGATCTTCATAGATTTCTCTCAATTCGAATAGATCTTAACACGATTTTTTTATTATTCACTTGTGGCACTCAAATCCATAACTTAGTAGTTTCGAGCATCTGGCTAGTGCAATAAATGAATTAGTTGTTGTAAGGCAAGACGATCGATAAATGAGTTAGGTTCAATATAACGATGATAACAATGTGTTAGGTTCAAACGATTTCGTATCCTTAAATGAATTGATTATCGTGAAAAAAATGAAAATAAATAATTTACTTTTGAGGAATGCTAACAAATATTACAGCAAAAAGATTAATAGTCGTATTGGAGAAGTTGAACAACTTTTGAACAAAGGGATAATAGCTGTCAGAAGAAATATTTTCATTTATCCTCTTTCAATACAATTTTTTTTATAGACTCATTTAATACAAATTAGAAAATTAAAGAAGAATTTTATTGAAGCGGAGAGGCGACAGTGTGTACTAAAAGTCTAAAACTGATTAATTGTTAGTGAAAATCTAGCATGTGGGTTCACTTGCTAAAAGAAGTAATAAAGCGGCTCATTTTGTTATTTTCAAATAGTACAAGGACTTATCTAGTTATTTAACCCAGTATCGAATTCTGGCCCATGGATCCTCTTCACTAGCGGGCTTTTTGCCTTGGCTATAGCCCTTTTGTGGGCAGAAATGATCGTTCTCCATGGCGGGAAAACGGTCAAAAGCTTCGATCCGATGCACTTGACCTCATCGTACGAGAAACGTATCACAATCTAAACCGGTCATCGGGTCGCCAAAAGTTATCAAGGCCGTTCGATTCGATCAAAGGATCAAGGGGGAAATTTTCGCATACCTTCGCCTAAAAAGTAAAATCTCAGAATCCAAAAACCCTAGAAACCAGCTTGGTTTTTCAGTAAATGGTCTGTTAAAATCGATCTCAAGGTTCCCAACCGCTAGGAGGACGGGAGATTGAATTCAGCTTGAGACAATTTGTCCGATGGAGACCGGAGGCAGCAGCGAGAGCCCCGCGGAGCCGAAGAAAGGCAGATCCCGAGCGCCGAAGAAGGCGGCGGAGAGTCTTCTCAAGCAGAGTTCAGTTTTGCCTTCCCTTTCGTTCTCGGATTACGCATTTCCCTTTGCTTGATTTGGAATGCAAGTGTTGGATATCTTAGTATGGAGTTTTGGTGGGTTGTCTGTGCAGAATCGCCGGCGGAGTTCTTTGCGGAGAACAAGAACATCGCAGGGTTCGATAATGTAAGCTTGATGAGTCGTTTTACCGTTCACTTCTGGAAATTTGTAGTTGATTCAGTGAATTGGAATTTGAGTTTGAACTCGTGTGTTTGGTTTCTCAGCCGGGGAAATCCCTGTACACCACGGTCAGAGAGCTAGTGGAGAACTCGCTGGATTCTGCTGAATCCATTTCCGAGCTCCCCGTGGTAGAGATTACAATGTGAGTACTTTGTTGTTTTTGTAAGATCATTGGGTGGATTCTGTGTGAATTGGCATTCAGTTTCAGTTGGTTTGCTGTAGTGAAGAGATAGGGAAAAGCAAGTTCAACTCCATGATTGGGCTTATTGACCGGGAGAGGGTTGATGCAGCACTCTATGATGATTATGAAACAGCAAAAGAGCGTGAGGTGTGTTTGCTTTACAACATTTGCTTTCCTGTTTTCGTGGTGAGATTGCGCTGAACTGAAATATTTGGGGTTTATTTCACGTTTGTGTGGGGGTTCTGGTTCATGATATGCAGAGAAGATTAGCGAAGGAGGCTCGTGCCCAGGAAATTCAAGCCAGGAATGCTGCTTCGGGAAAGAAAGTTAAGGAGCAGTCTGCTGGCAAAGGCATGAAGGGTCGTGGTGAGGGTTCGTTTTACAGAGTGACTTGCAAGGTGTGATTTGCTTGACTTTTTATCTGATCCTTTGATGTTTTCCAAGTATTGAACTGTACAATGTGTACTCTTTATAGCTGTGTTGTGGAGTTTTCATTGGTGTAGATTCTCACTTGAGTGAGGGGTGCTTTTAATGCAGGATAATGGGAAAGGGATGCCACATGATGACATCCCAAATATGTTTGGCCGAGGTGTTTTGCTTATTTTGGTGCTTAAGTACCTGGCTTCTGGTCCAGGTGGTCAGTATATTTTAACCCCTGACTGACTTTTAGTATTCCTTTGTGTGTGTAGTTCTGTCTGGGACAAAGTATGGCCTCAAACAGACACGTGGGAAGTTTGGTCTGGGTGCAAAAATGGTAAGTATCATCTTGAAGTGCATTGCCTTGCATTCTTGTCCAGGTTTCTATGTTTTGAGCTCCATTTTTGTTTGTGCTTTTTACTCTGCAGGCTCTGATTTGGTCCAAAATGAGCACAGGGCTTCCTATTGAAATTTCATCCTCAATGAAGGGCCAGACATATATGACCTTCTGCAGGCTGGACATTGACATCCATAGGTACAGTTACGTGTCAGGATGCACTTTATGGTCATTTGCCTTGGTTTTTAACTTGTGGTTCGTTGTTCAGAAATGTACCCCATGTTCATGTACATGAAAAGAGAAAGAATGACAACAAGTGGCATGGAGCTGAAATTCAAGTGGTCATTGAGGGGAATTGGACAACTTATCGTGTATGTTCTGATCCTTAGCTATGTTTATGCTTCTATGTGGTGTTTCTTTTGGTTATGTTTATGCTTCTATATTGTTATAATTTGAGTTATTCCCTCCATTTGCAGTCAAAAATACTGCATTACATGCGGCAAATGGCTGTTATCACTCCTTATGCCCAGTTTCTTTTCAGATTTATATCAGAGACATCAGAGTAATCTCTCTCTCTCCCTCCAACCCTCTGTCTTTGTCTCTCTCTCTCTCTCTAGGTTTCCTGACTGTCACGATTGCTTCCTTTCCATATGCAGTAAAAACGTTACCATAAAATTTGCGCGGAGAACAGAGGTTATGCCACCAGTTCCTCTTGAGACAAAGCACCATCCATCATCTGTAGATATTCTGCTGATAAAACGTCTGATTGCCGAGACTTCCAAGCAGAATCTTCTGCAGTTTCTTCAGCATGAGTTTGTAAACATCGGGAAATCACATGCTGAACGCTTAATTGGTAAGCCAGGCATCAATATTGATAATTCCATTTGAATGCTGAGGCTATAGGTAGTTCAATTCTCATGAAATCACTTCATCTCAGTTGCATTTGATTTCTGAATTTGATGTTAAAATCATTACTTCAATATTTAATCAGGGGAAATGGGGTCAGAATTTAGTGCCAAAATGCCCGTTAAATCCCTTACTGATCAGCAGATAGTTCGCATACATCAACTGTTTCGTCAAGCCAAGTTTGATGACCCTACTGGAGATGTAAGCTGTTCTATCCGCTCTACTGACATTCTGTCACCTCTGTCGATTGATTTAAATGCTAAATTAGAACCATTGCCAGTGTCTTAGTCCTGCAGGAGAATATAATCTTCGTCTTGGAATTATAAAAGAGCTTCATCCAGACATGGTTGCTACTTATTCGGGCAGGTGAGGTCCTGAAATATCAGTTACCACTATGCCTTCCGCTGCTCTATGCTGCTAACTCGCTGATGGATATGCAGTGCTCAGGTATTTGAAGGACACCCATTTATTGTGGAAGCTGGTGTCAGTGTCGGTGGAAAGGACGTAAAGCAGGTAAGAGTTTGAACCATTAGAAAAGAAACTGATTGATCTTGAAGCTAGAAAAGGGGGGAAATTAGGTCTAACCTACTTGCAAACAGACTAATCAGCTTTGAGTCGGTTTTATGCACCAATAATTTCCATTTGATCATTCATCCTCTGATGTTGCCACTCTGGTTCAGGGTTTGAACATCTTCCGTTTTGCAAATCGCATCCCTCTTCTGTTTGAGCAAGGTGCTGATGTTGTGACCAGGACTGCCCTCAAGAGAATCAAGTAAGTGCAAACTGAAAATAAAATCTGCTTCTAACTATTAACCCAGATAAATCAATTCTTAGAAAAGTTTATCTTTTCCACAGCTGGGGTACTTACAAGATAAACCAGACTCAGGACAAAATAGGCGTCTTTGTAAGCATTGTCAGCACAAAAATCCCCTTCAAAGGCACTGGTAAGGAATACATTGGAGACGACATCAAGGAGATTGCTACTGCTGTCAAGGTGAGAGCTAGGCTGCCCTTCTTCTTGAGCTCTCCCTCGTTTCATTCTCCCTTAACGATTCCAAACTTATACCGGCAATTCCTCCCTCCCTCCCTCCCTCCCTCCAGTCAGCCATTCAGCAGTGCTGCAATCAGCTGAAATCCAAGATCATCAAGAAACTGCAGGCACGCGAGCAGCAGGAGCGAAAACGCAACATAGGCAGGTACATCCCAGATGCCTCAGCTGCTATCTACGACGTCCTGCAAGCGATGACACAGCTCCATGCATCGAAGAAGAGGCGATACAACGAAGAAGACACAGACCTGGTTTCTAAGGTCGCATCTCGATCGATCACCACGGCCACTCTCAAGGAGAAACTCTCTGAGCACGTTGCACGGGTGAGAGACAAGAACCTGAAGTCACCGCCACCTACTGTTTTCCGACGACATGCATTTTAACAATGTGTGTGTTTTCCCCTCTTCTTAGGTGGACTATGAGATGGCGCTGGAATACGCGACACAGAGTGGAGTGAGCGAGGAGCCTAGAGAAGACGTTTACATCCAAGCGCTTGAGCCTGCTGCTGCTGATGGCAAGAAGTTCCTCGACTTCCATAGTCCCACATTCGTCTTCAGACTCGTCTGTTGAAAAGGATCGTTCGAAAAAGCACATATTTATATCTTGTATCCATCTTGTGCTGATCATAAGAAATAATCTTATGTTAGAATGTAATGCTTCATTAGTACCAACTGTGTATGGTATATACTAAACACTAATATCTTGTATTCCAACATTGCGTGATTTTATGAATTCATACAGGAATAGAACGTGTAAATTGTACATAATTTTTCGGATAAATTCATATATTTTCTTGTTCGTAATTTGCTAAATCGAAATTGGAATCATTTTAAAACAAATTGAATATACACCAAAATTGAGAGTGTACTCCGTAGATGCTTTTCCTGGTAACGTAAAATCGCAACACACACCTTCCGCGCGAGAATCCGTATTAGAACGGTCCATTTCTGCCTCTTCTCGTCAATTTATTAATAGTGTTTTGTACATTTCCCGGCGAGAAAAAGGAGAAACGACCAACTCCCTGGCAATCGTCTCCGGAACTTCAAAAAAAAATTCCCTCCATTGAATCATCCATTCGATCGCTTCCTCCATCGCATTTCTCAAACAGAAAGCGTTCGTTCAACAATGGCGAGTTCGCCCAACATCGCGATTATGGGAGCTGGCATCTTCGTCAAGACTCAGTACATTCCCAGATTGGCCGAGATCTCCAATCTCATCGTCCTCAAAGCAATCTGGAGCCGCTCCGAGGTAAGCACTGAACCACAATTCCTTCTCCGTAGATTCAACTGTTTCATTCAATCTCTCATCTCGTACCTCTGCGCGTTTCAGGAATCGGCGAGGGCTGCTGTGGAGATAGCGCGTCGGCATTTCCCCGACGTGGAGTGCAAATGGGGGGACAAAGGACTCAACGAGATTCTCAACGACGAGTCCATCATCGGCGCTGCCGTGGTTCTCGCTGGACAAACTCAGGTCACTCTCTCTTGATTTTTCCTCGTGATTTTGCTGCTGGTCTGATAAATTGGAGCAGTGGATGTGTAAACTTGGTAGAGTGAGTCATGAACTAGTCCTGTGTATTATAGGTTGAGATGTCTCTGAAGCTGTTGAAGGCAGGGAAGCATGTTCTTCAGGGTAATGAAACTTGGTATTGTAGCGGTTTATAGTCGTCTATGTACTTCCTCGTCAGTGAATTCTTTCGTTTCTGACTTTTGGGTTCTTATTTTTCAATGCAATCTCCCATTGCCTGGTTTGAACTTGGTTGATCTGAAGAGAAACCTGCGGCAGCTTGTAAGTGCTGATCTGCATTTGAGAATTGAGTTTGAATTGATGCGAGATTGTGCTGTTAACATTACTTATGCAAGAATGGTTGGTGGTGTTGTGATGTAGCCGCGAGAGAGATTGAAGCTGCACTCTCAGGTTACAAATCCATTTGTGCCAAAACTCCTGGGCAGCCAATCTGGGCTGTTGCAGAGAACTATAGGTTTGAACCTGCGTTCGAAGAGGTATTTTTTATTTCGATTTGTCCGATTTTCCCATCCAACTAGCATACACTAAGGCTCGACTATGATTTGGTTACACAGGGTAAAAGGTTGATGGCTGAAGTGGGAGAAATGATCAATGTACAAGTCATCATTGAAGGATCAATGAACAGCACAAACCCCTACTTCTCGAGTTCGTGGAGACGGAATTTTACAGTAGGTCACTTGACACGATATTGTCCATACTTTTGACCCGTGATAGAAGTGTTCATTTCATGGAGATTAAAGAGCTCCCGTCTATTCTAACACTGAACTCTATTTGATTCATAAAATGATACTGGAACTGTGTTCTTATTGATAGGCATTTTAACTTTTCAATATGGTTGCTTGTTGCCTGTCCCTTTGGAGAATCCTTACCTAGCACTCGTTTCATTTTGATTCTACAGCTAGTTGACATATCATTTCTATCGTTCTTGAGCTTGCGCTTTGTGCAACTTCTTGACTGATAAAGCTTCCATACCTGCAGGGAGGTTTCATTCTTGATATGGGGGTGCACTTCATTGCAGGACTCAGGATGGTATGTATGACAATCTTATTCATTTATGCGCGCTAATCGTTGTATCCAACGATTCTCCACCCATTAACGATCTCTTCTTTGCATGTCCATTTGATATGACCAGCTGGTTGGAAGCGAGGTAGCCACGGTGTCTGCCAGAACCTCTCATGTGGATACCATCTTACCACCACCAGACAACATATCTGCAGTCTTGTAAGCTTCTTCTGTGTTAAACTCTTTATTTCTCACAAATAGTTCCATAACTCGATCAAGAATCTGAAGCCTATTCTACGTACATTTGCTTTTCTTAGCCAGTTAGAGAACGGATGTTCTGGAGTTTTTGCTATGGTTGTCTCTTCACGATCACCTAAGGTTTGTGAATGGTGCCTGTTCCATTTTCTGTATGGTGCTGAACTATATAATCAACTCATTTGAATGCTGCGACTTACAGGTAGTCTGGCGAGTTGTTGGCTTAACCGGTACGCTTCAAATCCAGCGTGGTAGCGAAGATGGACGCCATGGTTACCTGGTACGATGAAAATTCCATTAACCTATCAGCACAACTCATCTTTTCTCCTCTTTTTATGCCTTCAATGTTGCAACTTCTGGTGTTTCAGGTATCCTTTTTCGGCGGCGATGGACAAAGCAAAAGCAGCTTCCACGCATTCAGCGGTGTAACAGAAGAGTTGAAAGTATTCATACGTGACATAACACAAGCTTCCCTTAAGGTAATGCACAAAGAAAGATATTGTATCACCACTTCCAATTCCAACTATATGCATCAAATTCTTTTCCAAGTGTCTGCCTGATCTAAATTACTCTGTAAACTCCAATGCCTGCTTCCTGGCTCTGTTGATCATGTTTTGTCTGTAATGTGGCACTTCTCTGCAGAAGGAATGTGGGTATGAAGCCGAGCCACGGCTCACTTTCTTGGAAGGTGCTCGGGATGTGGCTCTACTAGATGCAATGCTTGAATCCGGGAGGAAAAAGGGAGCCCAGGTCGAGGTCAAGCAGTTTTAGATTCCTTAAGGACAGAATTTTTTCAATTTGGCAGGGAATTTTCTTTGTGTGTAGTTTGCTTTAGACTCTTTTTCTGCATTGCTGTATAGATAATGAAGGCATTTTATCAGTTGGATCTTGAAACAAGAATAATATTGTACTGGTTAGTGATTATGATCATCAAAGAGATTTAGTACTGCAGTCTGCAGTGCTTAGTGCTATTTCTGCTATGGTTGAAAAATTGGAAGAGAGTTTGGTGGGCCATGAAGGAACAGGCATTGAGACCCCAATTCGCAGCTGGGCCTCCCCTGGCCCAAAACCGCTAGGCCCAAGTACAATTCCGCTCGGCAGGCTTACTTAACCCAGCCAAGTGCAATTCCCCACATATGGCAATAGACCGGGCCGGTCATGTATATTATCATTCACGAATCATGGGTTAAAATTTGTAACCATTATCATAAATTCATGATTAAAATTGCGTGGGATGTCATGTAATATGATATATTAAAACCAACTAGTATGTGGTGTGGAAACCAACCAGTCACCAACCGAAAAAAATTGGTTCGACCGTTAGATTTTACGATTAACCTCAATTTTGGGATAAATCTGTCCATTATTTTCAAATTTTGGCCATAACTGTATTATTTGAAAGTTGGAGTCAAAACCGATAATTACGTCAAACTTTAGGCCAACTAAGGTATTAACTCATATTGGGCCAGGTGCAACTTGCAAGCATGTCTCTAGCCTGTCAGTGAAACCGAAAGAGAGCTCTGAGACTCGGAGAGAACAGAGAAGCTCCTGCATCATGCACTGCATTTCATCAACTAATTAAACACTAAAATATGCATATCGTCGTCTTTTTCTGCTTAGCCATCCCAGCTGACAAAAGAGAGAAGAGATCAGAGCAGGTAATATGATTAAAGTAGAACCCTAAACCCCAAACGGCAAAACCTAACACCCACCAATATGACAAGAGACTTATTGGAATAAAGTTGCCATCTTGCCCTTTCCATAAGTTCCATTTATTTATTATTTGCATGTATTGGATATTGATTTTGACCCAATGGAAGTTATCAGTTGTTTTCAGCACACTTAATACACTGGACCCATTACATATACATTTCCTCTCCATCATTAAATGATTCAATGAAACCTAAACAAGAAGGAAAACACACAAAAACCCGATATGATTGGTTTTGATATCGTTAAAGTCATGTAGCAATTTATCTTAATTCAATTATATGGCGATCAACGAGTATGATTCGTAAGAATTTGAATTTGGTTCAATGGAATGATTTTCCGACATATCCATTCTTCTATTTCCGCTAACAATTTAAACTAATCGACGTTATAAGGTATCAGGCGTGTATACACTTACGATTTTTTTTTCCCCATCATTGATAAGACCGCGAAAAAAAAGGAAGGAATTGTATGACTTGAACACATTAATGCATGGTGAGTATTTGTAAACGACCAAAACGTTAAATCAATCGCGTGATATTCTCGGTGAAAGTATCATATAAATGATGAGAACATCCATTTTTGGGAAAAATTAAACCTTCAACACACTTGCTCCCATCTTGAAAAAGGAATCTGAGTGATCCGTGGAATAGAATACGTGCAAAAACTCTCATTTCCTTTCTTCAAATACAAGTTTTGTGATTACTAATCAGCTTTAAAATCAATTAGTCCAAAGAACACATGTTCTTACACCTAAATAGGCTCCTACAACTAACCCTTAGTTAAGATTTCGATCGAACTGAAAGACAAAGTCGTCAGAAAGAGCAGAAGAAATTAAAGCATTTGGTCCTGAATCTAAACAGCGGATGGAATGCCATTCCGCCCGCCGCTAATCACTGCGTTCGCCGGACATTTCTTTAAAATAAGTTTGAACAATGTAAACATACACGTGGAGACTCTGGTCGCCGGTCGGCTTGGCCGGAGACCTTTTTAGATGGAATGCGACCGTTGCACTGACGACGAGCCACTGAAAACCAACATACCTGACAGCCAGCCACGTGTGCTGATCCAACATCACCAACCAAGCTTAGTTTAACCGTTTTTTTTAAGAGCTTAGTTTAACCTTTAATCTCACATCATTTACCAAAACACAACCTTCCTGATCAGGTCAACCCTTGGAGTTAATTAACACTATAGAGAGAAGAGGTAGGTATCGTCATCGTGTGCATGCACCAACTCTGAAAATGGTCACCGTAGTTTGGGC